TTTCTGTACCACCTATTGTGGAACTTCTGCCCAGGTTTTATCTAAAGCAATACCTTAAAGCAGCATTTCCCACATTTAGCAAAACCCGCATGATTGATGTAGGCACACAGAATATATTCATTATTGGATGCATGTGTCTAATTCCTCTTTTCTTTTTTTCCTCTTATAATGTCACCTTCACAGATCTCTCAGCACGAGTAGATGCTGTTAAGGAAGAAAACCTGAAACTGAAATCAGAAAACCAAGTTCTTGGACAGTATATAGAAAATCTGATGTCAGCATCTAGTGTTTTCCAAACCACTGACACAAAAAGCAAAAGGAAGTAGGGGTTGGCTCACAAGCGATGTCATTGTATTGCTGCTGTCTTTTTTGTTTTCATGGGCATAGGCTACATAAGCTAAAATTATCTTAGTTTGTGGCTTCACTGGATTCCTGAAGATTATAAACTTCAGTAATAAGCAGAATTAAGAACATTATCATGAACAGGAGATGCGAGTTTGTATATTAAGATTAAGCAACGTGCAATTACAGTGTAGAGACTTACTAGACTTTCGTATTTGTATTAAAAATGAGCATATCTTGTTAAGAATGGGATTCAGTTTGTCAACTTAAACAAACACGTCTTGTTGGCTCTCTTAGAGGTCTTGGTGTTCTTGACTAGGAAAATGATAGTTACAAAATGGTGTTGAAAACTTACTTGATAAAAATATTCAAAGGCTAATTGCATCACCTTTTTCACCTCAACTGTTGATAGATTACTGTGTAGTACCGTTCACATCTCTGCAAAACAGCTTTAAACAGAAGCCTATAAACCAGTTAGGAATTTTTGTGAAGCAGTAACAATCTGACATAATTTGTACAGTTTGCATGCAGGAAAACAACATTTTTTGGAAAGGGTTAAGTGAAAGTGAACAAGGATAAGTAACTTGCATCAGGGAAATATCAAATGGATGCAATACTAACGTGTATCATTTCTAAGATCTACACTTCAAACTGTTTTAACTTTCTTTCCTTAAAGAAAGGTCAGGTTCTGCATTGTAACATACTATTCAACCAAACTCACCCAAAACCTGAGTAATAAGCTTGACTAACAGAAAGCCAGCAGTGTTCTTCCTCTTGCTCATTGTGAACAGGGTGGAGTAGCGAGAAGCTGAGAACAAGTCCTTCCTTGCCACCTTTTTACTTTCCTCCTGAAGTGCCAAACTTGTCCTTGCTTCAGGCCTTACAGCAGCTATTTACCTGCCACAGGGCCAGAGCTTGTGAAGTACCTCTAGAGACATAGCACAAAACCATCCAGAGCAGAAGAGGCTGTCGTCTGTCAGATCTGGGCTGCAATGAGCAGTGCCTGATGTCAAGGTGTCCTGTTTTAGTTCACTGCATTGGCTTTGTTAGAAGGAGCTCAGCCCAGATTCTGGGTGCCAGCACTTCCCCTAGAAAGGGTACATCTAGCATAATCGGTGTTAGAGAAGAGCAGAAGTTGAAATACAAACAGCACTGTTAATTTTAGCTTGGTACCATTAGGTCTGTTTCATCTTGCCATGGAGCAGGATGGACTTATTACGGATGTCACCTAAAACTGAGATCTGCCTCTTTAGTAATGAAGTCATTTTATTTTACCTTTTAACAAAAGGGAACTATTAGTATAAGCTTCTCTTTCCGTTTTGCTGTGATAGATTGCGTAAAGCAAAGCTGGAGGAAGTGAATGAGTGGATGTCATGGCAGGATAAATCCATCTCAGAACACAAGCTTCTTGGCAGCTAAGCACTGCTATTCCTCATCTGTAAGCTGTTACCGTGAGATCTCCCATTTCTCTCTATTTAAAATGACTGCAAAGCTCTCACTGGAGCCTCAGCGGAGTTAAAATGACTAGAAACAAAGCACTAATATTTTGTGGCTTGAAGGTTGTGTACAAAGTCTGTGTCAAGAAATGAGATGACCAAAAGTTTCACCCACCAAGGCACACGTGGCTGATACTGTTTGTGTCACAGGGTCCTGTAAGCAGCTGATGTTACTATTAAACATCTCTGGATTGCTTTGTCACATTGCTGTCTATCTGAAATTTTGAATACGTGCAGAAATTTCTAGCAGGTGGAGTAAATCACAGGGCTTGTCCAGGGTTTGAGCACTGAAGACACACACCTCACCAAGCATTTGACTTGTACAAACTGTACTTCATTACAGCCATTCTAGCTTTCAGGCCATGTCACTACACGTCTCCATCCGCACTGCGGGCGACATCCACAAACACCAAGTAGTAACACAGCATGCACTTACTAGACTTGAGCAGTTGTGGGATCAAGGAATCTCAACATCATGGTTGTGTATTGTAAGACTGGATCGTGATATTTGACCCATCAGCAGTCTGTATATAGTAGTCATTTAATCTATGTACCACTATTCATCCCATTACTGCGGCCTTCATTTAACTTATGAGCATTTTAAAGATGTTGTGTTTCTGACTTTACACTAAATAAAAACTTTTGATTTGTCTCAGTTTGGTTTAACATTTATAAAGCCTGAAACGGGTTGCTGTTATCTTAACTGCTTCTACATAGCTAAGTATCTGAAAGACTACATGTAATTATCCAGTGTTGAGATTAGAACTGGGTTAATTACTGTTTTCAGTGAGCTTAGAGACTGACTCGCATGGTATTTTCACCTGTGAATCTTAGCATGCTCTTCTTTGTAAGCTACAAGAAATAAGACAGACTTGGCAGACTGCATCCTGTGTTCTCAATGGTAAATATTGCCAATCTCCACATGGCTTCATTTTAAGAGTTGGATGATGTTACCTTCGTCTACACATGTACCTAACTCTACATTAGACAGACACCAGAACTCTTATTTTGTCCTACCTTTATTATGGTGGAAGCCACTGGTGGAGGAAATTTTGAGAGAACACCCCTCCACCATCCCCTCTGGTCCTGCCTAGCCTCACCAGAACACTCACATACAAAACAGCTACGCAGAGGAACTACAGAAGGAAATCACAACGTTAGAAGTATCAACAGAAGGGTTCCCTTCTTGCCTCATTTTTTTTCCTCCTCATCTAGAGCCTCAAATCCTCTAAGCTCTCATCTTCCTCTCCTAATTCCTAGCATAGAATAGATCAATAAACTGATAAGCAGGAGGATGTCTTTATCTGCAGGTTCCAGGCAATGGTAGTCATTAAGTCAGTATGAAAAGTGAGACTGGTCTTACTAAGTCAGTACCATTGCATACAGCACCTGAGCTATGGCCTCTTAAGGCAGTTCTACCTGGTAAATAAGGAGTCGTTTACTACAAAGTGAGGTGCAAGCAAAGATGCTGAGAGGGCATAAATCAAGACCTTAGGGGAACCCTAAGAGAATTAAGACTAGCACCCACTGTAAGCCGACTGATCCCTGAAGTAACTCTACCCTTGCCTATAAAGGTGTGCTGATCTACCAAATAAATACATAATCAACTCAAAAGCCCACATGTAAACATTGTAACAACTCCAAAGGACTTTCACCAGACTCAGATGGGATTCAGTCACAGCGCTGAAATGCTTCCCTAAAGCTACAGTGACCAGCAATCCACACTCACCCCATTGCCCGAGTTCCCTCTGCTGTTCGCAGGACACCTCATTGCTAACAGCTATCTGTTACTGCAAAGTCTCGGGGCAAAGGGGGAAATAAGGAGTCATTACTTATTAGTTCAGGGACCCTAGAAGGGAACAAATGGTTGCACTTACCATTTCTCACTCTGGCCTCTCCCTGTATTTCTCCACACCAAACAGAACGCAGCACTCTTTGACTTCAATACAAATACCTGTGCACGCTGGCTTCTTCAGAAGAGTCAGCTAAAAACTGTTACCAACTTCCTATTAAGTAATAGCAGAGCAAGGAAAACAACACAATCTTCGTAGACTTACAAGTGTTTATAAGTAAAATAACACATTTCCTTGGCAAAAAGTTCTTCACCAATTAACAAACTTCTAAATGTTTTTAGCCTATGAACTTGCTTTTGCTAGCAGTTAACAACTCACTCATGTTCAAGGCAGCTGCCAAGCAGCAGCAGGATTCCAAAAGCTGCAGTTTTGTTGGTTTGTTTTAATATACAGTTGAACTTCAGTAGTTCCTCTTATGATATGCAGTATATTCAAACTATATTAAAAGAAAGCCCAAGAACTCACATTTGTAAAAAAAAAAAAAAATTCATCAAAAAATCTTATCTATATTAATCGATTTCATGTTAAACAAGAATTATTAAATATTTTTAATACACAATATACACTCAGCAAATATTCTATAAACAAAATCTATGTCGATATGGCTCAGAACATGAGAGCTATAAAAGTATGAAAACATCTATATATCACTTCTGTAGTTTTAATATCTGCATTCAAAAGCAAAATAAGTCACATCAATTAACCACTTCTTTGAGTACTCCATTTTAAACTATCTCTTAAAAATAAATTACTATAACCCATGTTTGAAATGAACAGGTGACCACTCTGTAACAGTACCAACTCAAAGAAATGAGATGCAAGAAAAATTGTTGCTAGCACTAAACGATCATACAAAAACAGTTATTGCATTTAGCTCTGCACAGAAAAAATACCTTTTCACTGAACAACGTGAACTGTAGATCCTTCACCTGTACTGCAACACTCTCAGCTCGGATGTGTAAACAGCTGATTCTGTGCTAGAGCTGCAAAAATATTTATTCATGTTCTTAAAAATATTTTAGTAACATTTTTCATCCCTGACTAATATTGATTTCTAAGATTCTTCAAATCTTAAGAATCTGCTTTGTAAAATCAGTTGGCCAACTTGCAGTTTGACTTTTATTCTAAATGTGAAACATTAGGTAACTCTTCTTTTCTTGTTAAAAAAAAAGGGCACCAAGGAATCTTGGGAAGGTTAAAAGAGGTCAGAGAATTAAGAGAGGATAAATAGCAATGTGTCCCATTTTTCCCTTCACATCTCAGGAACCTGCATGTTGCCAGGCTCCTTGCAGTGGCATGTCATGGCTAGTAGAAACACTAGCTGCCAACAACTCAGTCCTTTTGTACTCTTCTTTTGCGCACTGACTTCAGCCGACCATCCCCAGAGCCTGCAGTTTCATCAGCTACTGTCATCTGAAGGAAGAAAATAAATCAGCATTCACATTCTTAAGCAGTGTGCATTTAATCCTTCAAACTTATTTATTCCTCCCTACCCCCAAATCATATTAGCACTCAATACAATAGTTAAATGATAGATTTTTTTGCCCTGCAATATCACACTAATGATAAACGATAAACAAGGTAATGTATAAACATCATTTTACAAGGGGAAAAGGTTTTAATTTGAGGGAGGGAAGATTTAGGTCGGGTGTCAGGGGGAAGTTCTTAACTATGACAGTGGTGAGGTGCTGGAACAGGCTGCCCAGAGAGGCTGTGGATGCCCCGTCCCTGGAGGTGTTCAAGGCCAGGTGGGATGGGGCCCTGGGCAGCCTGGTCTGGTATTAGAAATGGAGGTTGGAAGCCCCACCTATGGCAGGGGGGTTGGAGATTCATGATCCTTGAGGATCCCTTCCAACCCAGGCCACTCTGCGATTTGATGATAAACAAAGTGAGTAAAAGGTTTTTCCTTACTGAATTCCAAAGAAGAATAGCACATCTAAACTAACATCAGAAATTTGTTTATTCCCCATTCACTCACTAGTTCAAAAGCCATGTCTTTTAATTAATTTAGCTAATGCCTTCAAGTGAATATTGTACTAATCTTCCTTTCCACTCGTTAAGCAAGAAGCATTTAAAACATTGTTACTTCCTGTCTTGGAGAGCTACAAACAGTACAGACTGCTCTTAAATCAGCTGTCTGTTTCTCACTTGAGAAGCACTTGACTTACTGAGGCTCCATTCCCAGACAAGGCCTTGTTTCTCACTTCCCTGCATCTCCTAATGGAAGCACTCGATTCAGAAGGCATAGTTCCCAGAAGGTGGCACCACTGGCCTGAGAACATGGCATGCATGCAGTCTCCTAAGTAGGTCACTGATCATGCCATGTTAGGAACTCAGACACCCTGAAAATACCCAGGTAAAAGCAAGACGTAACCTCTCCATATTCCAGTACAGAGTATCAGTCACATGATCAGCTCTTGTTACTGCTTTCACAAAGAAAGGGTTAATGGGTTTATCAGACACTGCATTCCTAGGCCAACGCACAGGAACAAGCTTCTAACAAACAGGAGAATCGAGAAAGGGGTAATCAGTGAAGAACTTGTGTTAGAGCACTGTGAACTCACACAAGGCAGTTTCGCAGAGGAAACTCACCTCATCTTCTGAGCCAGATTTATTTGACTTATCTCCTTCCTGACTTCCACCTGCAACTTCATTTTCTTCATCATCAATATCTTCCCCATATTTACTCTCGTCTTCTGCAGGAGAAATCAGTATTACTTTTAAACGGAACTACATTAGAAACACACTACAGTCACACACTAAGTTGTTCCTAGCCAATTTCTGTTCTGGAATTAACTGCTTGTTTATAATACAATATAAGCTAAACAAAGCAGAGCTACCTTCCCAATGAAGTTGTAGCTTACTGTAGTTTAGTGCATTACTGTACTAAAATAAAGAGAGTAGTGAATGCATAAACACTCTCAGTCTACTCCCCGAGCATCAGACTGGTTACCCTTCTGGGGTCTCTCTCCATTCCATGCATTCTGTGAAGGAAACCACGCTCCCCAGCTGTTTTTGTTTCCACTTTGGGCCTCAGAACTTACAAGCTTGCACTCCCATGCCTGCATTTTAGGTATCTACGTTCAGTATAAGGATTCAGACCCAGCAATCACACCATGACATATTAAATAAAGTTACTTAAGCTTGACAAGTCTTTTATTTCAAACTGCAATCTTGAAGTGAGAATTTCTATGACTTGGTTATGTACTGCAAACATTTCCATCTAAGAGTAAACAAAAAGCAACATTCATGTCTGGCAGAAAGGAAATAAGAAGACAACTGCTGAGCATAACTACCCAAACATCTCTCAGTACTATTCCTGCCATGTGATGCCTCATAACCACTGCTTCACCACAAAAATACAAAGATTTTAACAGCTGAGCTCAGTAATGCCCGAACAAAAGCATACAGACACCAAAAACCTTTGTGCACAATATACTAATAAACTGAGCCAAGCAATTCAGCACATTTGGATGAAGCCTGAGAGTTTTCCCAGCTAAGAGTACCTTATATGTATCTACATTCATCTGCCTCAACTATTGTTATCAAAAGGAGAACTACGACCATAAGGCTGGAGGTCACAGTTTAAGAGAAACATAGACAAAAGTTTTGTTTTAAAAATCAACCCTTACGAATAAAGCTTGGAAAAAGTGTTCAAAACCCTTGCTCAGATGTTGAGGAAGGGAACTAAGTCCCAAGGCAGTGCCATTCAAGTTGCCAGAAATTCACACTCACTGGAGCCACAGAAATGTACAAATCTTTCTGAAACTTGCCATTCTGCCACACTTTTAAACTACCCACACTAAGATGTGACTTGGAAGTCATTCAGTGCTTCACATTTGAAAACAGTTCATTGCCTTCAACTCCAGGAAACAAAGTAGATAATGACTATGAAGGAATTGCAGGAATGATTAGGATCCAAAGGATTAGTAGAAAATACTGATGATTACAGATACCGTGTTGAGAAATCGCACAGGCAACTCACATACACATCTGGCATCTACCTGATGTTCCACCTCTGGCAATGAGACAAACTAAAAAGGAGAAGAGAGATCATTTTCAAGTCCTAGCCCAAGTTATTTCCTTTTCCATTACCTGAAGGAGGAACCTCCCTTCCCATCTTTATTGTATCCTCTATGAACTCTGTCTCTTCCAGTTCTCTTCTATCTTGAGCGAAAAGAATCATATGAGAACATAAGACTACCTATGACTGCAGATATGAGGAGGCAAAAAATAGATGGAAAGAGAGGGAAGATTTTAACCTGCAAGTGTAAAAGGTAGCAGGAAAGCTAAGGGGAGCTAAGCAATTCTACTCAAAAGAAGAAAGGAAGAAAGTCTTTGAAGCCTGGAATGTATTCGAAAGCTTAGAAGACTCATACAAAAGCTACCTACGTTGATGTTGCTCTGCATTTAGTTTAGTAACTGGAAATGAAGATATAAGATGGAGCCTAATTTTGAAATATCAGGAACAGCTGGTTAAAAAAAAAAAAAAAGGTAAGGCAGATGAATTAAGTTTGGTGTAGCAAAGCATTATGCCTAAGTACTCAATTCTCTGAGCACGGGAACACTGATGCAAAGTTAAATATTAATTCATACAGCCAAAACCCATCAACTCTCATGGCCCTTGGTGCAGAAATAGACAGAAATGACAAAGTTCTGGTCAGCAATACAAGATGATGTCACTACTAAAATAACCAGCATTCACGTCTGCTTAGTTTCTAACTTACAATGCCAGCCATTTGCAACTTGCTTTGCTCTTACAGAGCAAAGTAAGAGACAGAAGCTTGCAGTATGAGGCTGAACATTTTCTCACAGGAGTCCAAACAATGCACTGTAAGTTACATGATTCTCTTTGCACTTGCAGGCAGAGGGAAATGCCATCACAGCATCAAAGCCACAGCTGAATAGTTCCACTCGTGTTTGATAACACAACATGAGATGCTCATGTTACTCTTCAAATGCCAAAGTGCATCTTACACTACTGATCATTTGTTTCTCCCTTGGAACAGCAGAACAGATCTCTGCAGGCTGGCATTGCATTCCTAGCAAGAGGTATCAAACAAGCAGATTTCAGTACTTCAAATCCACTGTATTTTCAGACTTCAACAAGAGTTACTAGAAGCAATGGGTTTTGGCAGTTCAGGGTATGATGCTCCCACAGAGGAATAAGTCAAGCGTTATGCTAAAGACTTAAGGCTATTCCAGACACATTTTAAAGACAACTTGATTGTAACCACTAACCACCCAAAGAGCGTTCAATATACGAGATGTTTAGGAGGCAGAAGATACGTTTCTGAACATAAGACTTGGAACAATTTATCAAAAGTGAAGAAATACTAAAGAGAACTCTATTATACAACTCTCTTTTTCTCTTGTATTTATCAAAACACTATGGCACACCAATTGCTACAGAGATAAGGCTCAGAGCAAGGCAGATTTGGCATACTGGCTGCAATTACTGCAGCACAGCCCACGACTTAGTTCTTTCCATGCTTTTACATCAATCCAACTATGAAGCAACATACTCTTACCATCTTCGCCAATATCTTCATTTTCTTTATCTTCTTCTAAATCTATTTCATCATCTTCTAGCTCTTCTCTTCCTTGTTTTACTTCTCCCTTTGTAACTGGCATAGATGTATCTGGTTTTTTTAAGTCAAAATCTTCATCTGTTTTCTAAAACAAATCAGACATCCATTTACTTAAACTCAAGATAAAAATTAAACACTCACAAGGAGTTAACTAATACCAACGGCACAGTAAGAGAGCTGTTGCACAAATACTGTTGCACAAATACTAGGAGTTTTCAATCAAGTATTAAGAATGGAGGAAGAAGAAAAACGCATTCAAAATTTCTCTAACCTTTGCTGGCCAGCAGAACAACACACCCAGACCAACAGGCAGAGCTAAAGTCAGGATATAAAGAACCCAAAGCCATGGATGGTCTTCCGCAGCAGTCACCAGTTGACTCAACATTCCAGGCTACATTAAAAAAAATAAAATAAAAAGCATTTTTATCACTCTCACCACTTAGGTAAGCTTACAAAAATGTATATATTTCAACCCTTATGCTGCCCAAAGAAAACCCTTCCAGTTGGAGCAACTTCATGCTTGCTTTTTTGCTCTTTCCCCACACTGTGCTAGCTTAGCTGGTAAGAACCTCCAAGGAGCAGCCAGCCACCTGAAGAGCAACATCTTGCTCCATCTGTACTGCCACTCTGCCTCCTCCAACAGCCAATTAATCAGGCAGCTATCTTCCAGACCGGTTCTGACTTAAGTAGGCAACTCTTGGTTCAGTTAGACTCTGGAAAGGGGACATCAGCAACCAAGGTAGAAAGCTACAGAGGCAGTGGAGTGAAGGAACTTCAGGATTACCTTTTGCTATTGTACAGATACAGATGCAACTCCAGGCACAGAAACAAATATTTGAAATGAGCAAGACTGTGAAATGAGGTGGCTTTCCTAAATTGCCTGGTCTGTTGCTACTTTCTCATCCTTTCTGTGATAACAGCACCTGCCAGAGACTGACCATACTTACACAGCCAATCCATCATTGCTTTCCCCATACCCACGTCTGCTTTCATTCCCCAAAACACAGGACTGCTAGAACAAATCACTTGTGAAAGTGGAACAGACTTCCTAAAAAAAAAAATAAAATGATGCCCCATGCCTGTCGGAATTCAAGAGACAATTTCAACAATGACACTTGGAATCCTGCATGGCCCTAAAGAAGTCAAGCAGCCATACTCTGAATAACCTTGGAATGATTCATTCCAACTGAAGTACTCTCTCTCAACTGCAGTCAGTAAAAACAGCCACTAGAGGGGCTCATGTTCCCATCTATTCAGAAGAATTCATGTTATGACATACGATAGAGAGCTAAAGAAACTGCTGACTGACCAATTGCAGTAAGCAGTGTGGATGTACACACAAAAACAGAAGAACAGATGCAGCTCCAGAAACATACACATATTATTCTCAGAGTTGCATAATACACATCCAAACAGCCACAGACCCAGATTTATTAAATACAAAAAATAATGGCTATTAACCACTTTTTATGGCAGGGGAGCACATGTAAAGCACATATAAAAAGGAGTTAGATAAAAGTGACAACTCATAAGTATATAGACAGGTCTTGGTGCAAATAGCTCAGCTTCCATTCGCTGTCAGGTACTGAATTCTAGTATCACCATTAACAGTGGGAGATACATAAATTACTGAATTCTTGCTACATTTCTTGTTACATGCTTAAGTAAAATGTTGTAACCTTTTAATTTCAGCCCAATACTGACCTGGGAAAGCCGTACGCCAAACCAGGAAAATAATGTCATAGCTATTCTGTAAGATTACCAATCACAGAATAATTATATTACAGAAAGTTATTCCAACAGAACTCCTACCAAGAAGATAATAAAGTCGATACCTCGTTAGCACTTGCTACTAATTTCTTCAAGCCCCAACCATCTGCTGCCCAACGATCAGCTACTTCTTTTTCTGAACATATTATGAAGTTATCAAAGTAGATATCAGATGTCATAGACCAGAGTTCCAAACCAACAGCACCGATAGGTGTCATCTCAAACGGGTGAGGATCTTCAAAATAGTCCGGGTTAGGTATTTTCCGAGGGCTCCAGATTCCCTTTGTAGGGAAAGAAAAACATGCAATAACATTATTATACCTCAAAAATAAATGCAAAACAAACAAAAACACACATCCAGCAAAATACATTTTAATGTAATTAAGACTTTCTGACTATTTCAAATACACGATTTAAAAAGCAAAGGGGCAGCCTCTGAATTTCAGGAAAACAGAACTGGAAATAACCTATAGAATTTTGGCAGGTAGGTCTCAGACTTCTGGCTTCGGGCAGACAGATCTCTGTTAAATTCAATCCTTTTTCCTCCATACTGTGTTACAGCAGTAAGTGACTGTATCAAGTTCAGTATGAAGGGCCAAACATACATACTAATTCCACTTGTCTGCTTGGTTGAGCTCTGCACCTCTTAAATAACAACCTACAATATCGCTAGTACCTGATAATTAGGATTAACTATCATAGGTGCTTTCCATTTCCCTTTATACTTGGGGTTGCTCTTCATGGGACGCACCCACAGTCCACAACCAGGTGCGGTGGCACACTTCGGATTGGGGACCTGAGGGGCTTCCCACTCCCCATCCATTTCTTCATCCCTACAGAAAGAAAGGTACAAATAACCAATTTCAGGTTGGTCCGATGGGAACACTAACATTCAGTATAACTTTGGATCCAAACACACTTTGCTGGGACAACCCCAGAACTGGGTTGAAGTTCAATGGGCTGATCTAACTGCAACGTGCTTTTTCCAGAGTACTGAATGCTTTACAGCCACACATTCATAGCTACTGTAGCTCAGTGAAATGTAATCGTACTCCTACACCCGCAGGCAGCTTGCAGCAGCTCCCCATAACATGCTTTAGGACAACTACGTGTCTTCAAGCATCAACTTTGACAGCTTTGCTGCTTACCCCTGTTCTTTCAAACAGCTCCATACTGTTCACAGCTCTTCAGAATACAAGGCAATTATTGACATCTGCATATTTTTCTACAAGTAGCCTCACAAATCAATAAGTATTTGACCACGCTTGTTATATTCCAACCTCATATGTTAAAGACAGTGAGATTTGGGTTAAGTTCTCATTAGCTCACAATTAGCAAACAAGTAGACTTACCTAAAAAAAAAACAACCAACAAACCACATGAACAGGCCCTCATATACTAAGTTCTTACCAGTCCTTCGGCTTTTTTGCTCTGGGGTCCGGAACATACTGTGGTTCATCATCAAGCCATCCTTCAGGCTTAACAGCATCAAGATCTTCTATTTTGGAAGGCTCATCTTCATCCCTTCAATGACAGACTACTGTTAGAAAACACATCAGCTTGACTCTGAACCAATGCTCTGTTCAGAGGACCTACTGCAATGGATGGGATAACATTCAAGGGCACAACGAAGTCAGACACACTGACAATGAGAATTAGGCACCTACTTCTCTGTTTATAAACATTGATATTTATAAACATACATTTACAATGTTTCAAGGCACTGGTTAGCCCAGAAACAGCTGCCATGAACTGGCAAGTGTCAATCAGGTATCCCTTAAAATTTTCCTCTGTTGAAGTTGCTGTATGAACACCACTCCAGGAAGAAGGAATTAAGTATGCAACACCTGATCTAGTAGTGGCAATCCTGCCCACAGCAGGGAGATTGGAACTAGATGATCTTTAAGATCCCTTCCAACCCAATCCATTCTATGATTCTACTAGTAGTGGAAAAAAAAAAACCAAACACATCCTCAAGTAAGGCGATTTTAGTTACTAACTGCAACAGAATTCAACTCAGCAAAAGTAGAGATTGTACTTCTTTCCCTAAAAGAAGATCAGATCCTCGCACATCCTCCTCAAATACATGTTTTCAACTGTCAGTGAAACATATCCCAAGTGTTGAGAGAAAGAAAAACAACAAAATCAAGCCAGGAAAATATTATAAAACAATAACCTGTATATACTTCTTTTTTTTTTAAACAGATGAAGCTTTCTCCTTACCAGTCATCTGGTTTGACAGCATTGGGATCAGGTATTTTTTGTCTCTCATCCCAATCGTCAGGCTTCTTATCAGCAGGATCATCTATTTCTTTAGGAGGGTTTACTGGAGGAACCATATCCTCAAGAAGGCTTCCCTTACTGATGACTGACTGGTCAATCAGCATTTCAAACGTATCATCTGGTTTTAGCACTAAAAAGAAAAATATTGTATTGAAGAAATAAGGAAGTAGTCACTTGACAAATCAATTTACCTCCAGTCAAAGTCATACATGTGATATTTTTAGACTTAGTCAACTGACAGCCAACAGAACCTTGTGAGCAGAACAGGAGACATTCAGGTACTAAACCCACACATGAGAGGCAAGCCATATCCAACAAATTTGTCAACCCCCCCCCCCCCAAAAAAAAAAAAAACAAAATAAAAAGAAACCAGCAGTTGGTCAAAATTCTGCTGCTTTGCCTTCCTCCTCCCTGCACCACCGAAGACAAACCTTTGCCTCCAAAAGCATCTCAGCTGTCAAATAATAATTCCACCCTTGAAAGCATGAATAAAGTAGAACTGTGTAAATATCACAGCTGGAGGATCATTCAAGCAATATTTTCTTTCAGACTCCAGACTCTGACAGCATCTTTCTCAGTTGTCAGACTGTGAACACAGAACATTCACAGAATCACAGAATGGCCAGGGTTGGAAGGGACCTCAAGGATCATGAAGCTCCAACCCCTGCCACACGCAGGGCCACCACCAACCTCCCCATTTAATACCAGACCAGGCTGCCCAAGGCCCCATCCCACCTGGCCTTGAACACCTCCAGGGACGGGGCATCCACAGCCTCTCTGGGCAGCCTGTTCCAGCACCTCACCATTCTCTCTGTGAAGAATTTCCCCCTGACATCCAACCCAGATCTTCCCTCATTCAACTCAATATCATTTCCCCTTGTCCTGCTGCTATGTACCCTTTCCAAGAGTTGACTCCCCTCCTGTTTGTAGGCTCCCTTTAGGTACTGAAAGGCTGCAATGAGGTCACCCCGCAGCCTTCTTTTCTCCAAGCTGAACAAGCCCAGCTCCCTCAGCCTGTCTTCATAGGGGAGGTGCTCCAGTGCCCTGATCATCTTCGTGGCTCTCCTCTGGACCCTCTCCAACAGCTCCCTGTCTTTCTTGTGCTAGAGGCTCCAGACCAACATTATATTCAAGTTTTTAAAATATTTTAGCAAGTGCAGGTACCTGATAAGCAAAGGTCACAGAATCAAGCAGTGTCAGACTCCAGAATTGTTGAGACACTGAAATCCACTTCTAATAACCAGTGAGTACATTCAAGTCCATTTACACGCCCATTTAACACAACCAAGATTACTAATTTGAAGTAAATACTCCTCCAGTTTTATGAAGGTATGTGACAGAAGCTCAAGTAACACTTCATACCAACAGTTCGGTACTACCTAAGTAACATCTCACAGCCTATGTTTCCTAATTTATTAAAATAAATGCAAAAATTAACCCCCTTATGATTTTACACAACTGATTTTTCTACTTACGTCTTCCATCACAAAATCATTAGTAGTCACAAACCTGCATGGAGGTCTTGCTGACCATTTATTGCAGAATAAATGCCATCTGAATTAAAGTACCTTTCATAGTTATCTCTAATGAATGCCCCGAATACAGGAACATATACACTCCTTTCTATATACACCCCTTTATCAGGAGAACAGAGTTTGGGAGGGATATTTGCCACACAAACTAAAAGCAGCTCAAACTCATTTATCTTCAGTGAAAGCAGGAACATAACTGTTCACACACAGCTCTGCAGATGCAGGCATCAACGATAACCCAACACGTGGAGGAGAGCAGTGTTCAACACGCTGCAGGAGAGCTCACTGACCTACTGTCAACTCTGATGCCTTCCTATAAGACTGGACTTTTGCCTAAAATATTTTTATCTTAGTATGTACTCAAAGTATTAAATCAGTTCTTCAGGTTAAAGGCTGGCCAAAGCTGGAATGTTTTTTCATGTAAGCGAACATTAAACAGCATTATTTCAAAGCCACTTATGTGTTGCAGTTAAGCTCAGTTATTAAATAACTTAGGCCAAATCATGAGCAATCAGCTCCAGACTTAACAATAACAAAAAGAGGGAGACACGAAGCTTCAGTAGAGATAAATTTCTTTAAATCTTTTTTCTAATTCAAACTTGTAAAAACTAAACAATACCAAGAGTGTACAGATGTGTCTTCTTGTCCAAATAGAATTTTTTTAGGTCCACATCAGGACGTTTTGCATGTTTTTCATCATATTCTCCAGTTTTAGGATTCTTATGCCTGATGATGAAGTGTAGTTTGTAATCTTCACCACATTTATCTGGTCCAAACATAATAGTATAAGGCGTTTTGTCAAAGAAGAACTCCTGTGAAAGTAAAAAAAGAAAGTTCAGGGTGTGTCAAACTGTACATTTTACCAAGTCATTTGGAGCACTACTTGTCCACATTACTGTGGACTGCATATATACAACATGGTTACCTTTTTCTAAGAGGTGTTTGATGTGGCCTCAATCCTAACACTGAAAACTGGCAGGGTAAATCATGGATTTAACAGCTTTTCTAAGTTGCTGAAACAGCCTAACCACAGAGATCACTGAAGCCTCTTCAGACAAGGTGAATGTGCTTAGCAAGTCCTCACCTTACTTCTTTACTTCTTCTTGACCCTTGCATTAAGTGGAAATGCCTGCCACAAATCAAAGCACCCAAGTGTACTCTTCTGTGTATAGTAAAGTACAAGATGGAAGAGAACCAGATTCTCTTCTTCACAGCCATTTGTATTTCGATAAAGATGGAAAACAAGGTGTTATTATCCAGCGTTTCAGTGGTGCTTTCTCACTCCACCGTAATAATAAACAATCCCTCAACACCAGATTCAGTTTTCTTCCAACTACATTGCATATGGCTGTTGTGAAATTTCAGTTGTTTGTTTGTTTGTTTGTTTTTAACTATTTATATGATTTTTCTATTTACCAAGTACCAAGGTGTGTCTTCAAGCAACTACTTGAAGGAAACCCACTTGATTTCTGCAAGTTACCTTCCCTCAAGACACATCCTGTAACAGATGTGCTGTTTGAGGTGGGTCTGTGTTTTTATTTATTTTTAAATATGCTCATTCCTCAATGAAACAGTCAGTAGCAAATGTAAAGGGGCATACCAGATCCAGGTCATCCCTACTGGAAAGAAGTTTAATATATGCACCACCGCAGTCAATGCCTCCTTGAAAATTCACTTCATATCTAGGCAAAGAGCAAATTAAAAAATATATATATTCATCATATCAGACAAACACAAATAAACTTCATATCTGCAGTTCTACTTACAAGCACGTTACAACCATGTCTAAGTTGCTTGATTTTTTATTAGGTGCTGCTGTCAAAATATTCCTATGTGACTAAAAGGTTTTCAGTTGCCACACAAACCAATACAGTAGCAATGCCAGCCACAACAGGTAGCACAACTGCTACAGCACCACAACTGCTACAGTTGGGAACAGCAGTAAGACAAGTTTCAAACTTGTGATGACCCTGAGGCCGATGGCCCTGCCTGTGGCAGGAGGTTGGAATCTGATGATCACCGGGGTCCTTTCCAATCCAGGCCTTTCTGTGATTCTACAAAAGTGAGGCAGAAGCCAGAAAGAGTTCTAGGAATTTGTTCTCTTTGAAAACACCCACACAGCACACTGGATTTAGCTGGAGGGATCCAAATCGTCATAGTTGTTACACAGAAATACCCTGCAGTGTAAAAGCAGCATACTCAAATCACAAGTTAAATCTTTTTCATTTAGGACTGAAAATTAATTAACTTGTAAAGTATTTTATAAAACAATAACTTACATCCAAAGTATTTCAAGAGTTGGAATATAACTTCTTACACTTGAACTACAATCTTAGTTGCTTATTTTCATTCATACTTACAGCCCTGGTAGCTCTGGCTGTGTCAGTCTGTGCCGCATGAAAGGATTTACATGACTTTACTGACTCAAAGACTTGAAGCATGATAAATATCAAGCATGGAATCTGAAGAAATACTTACTGAACAATCAAAGGTTTTTTATCAAAAATAAATGCCTCTGTCAGCATAGCTGATATTGCATGATGCTTTGCAGCTGATTTTAACACTAATCCTTTGTCTCCAGGTACTGTGTTTTCTTTCAGCTCTTCTACTTCCCACCTTCCTAAAAGAAGGAAACAAACATCAACTCTGCAATCTTTGAGAAAAGCAAACAACATGCTGATGAAATACATCATAGCCTTGTGGCAAAGAGAAGCAGAGTTCACAGCATAGAAGACCAATGGCCAAAGTAGAGAAGTCTTGACATTTGATGGCAAAGTTCAATAACAGTCATCCAATAGAGCACTGATAATTCTCCTTCGGATACAAGTGATTATTCAGGACCACCCTACACTTCCCAAGCTCTGCAGCACTACAATACAAAAAGAAAGTTGGCAGTGCACAAATTTGATGCCCACATCTTTCCATCAAATCATCCATACAGCATTCCAACCAGTGCTTCAATTACAATAGTCAGAAGCCACTAGAATCCCAATTCACAGTAAAGACAGTAAAATAACATCAGCAGGTCAGAAGATTTCAGATCCATCTAACCTAGCGTTTTGGCTCAGACAACAAGGAGAGCAGAAAGCTTAAGGAAAAAAATTCAAAGGAATATGACCAGAAGTTACAACAACAACAGATAACAAGCTTCTGCTTTCAGGTAGGTTTTTGAAGTCAGTACAGCACGATGGGCACACAGCATGAAGGAGAGCTATCTCCCACAAAGCAACAGAACATCAGAACCCATGTAGTCAAAGTACAGATTAAAAACACTTACCATCATATTTAGCAATGTTGTCATCTGTGTCTTCTTTCTTGGCTTTAGACAACACCCAGCTAAAACAACAAGTGTACAAGTCACTTAACTATACAAAGTTGTGCATAGATATAAAAAAAAAAGCTGTAACAAGCACAGGACAAACAGATTGAGTTTCTATCAAGTGAACTTGTGACCTTGATTTCAACGGTCAGCATCATGGAACCTGGTGTAATTTAAAGAATGCAAACAGAAAAGTTGCAACAAGTTTCATACAACACTTCAAAGATTAGATTTCGTGGGAAAACAATACTCTCATAGATCTCACAAAGCTAAGGATTGAGATAAATGGTATTTTTAAGCACTTAAGTTTTTCCATTTACCAATCGTGGTTACCAATAACACGTTGTGATTTGTCTTCAAAAACCAAACACTGTTTCCCCAACATCATCAAAGCTTTCACCATAAAACAAAGTACTCTAACAGCTGATCATACCACCTCCTACTGAAGACATTACTACTGAGAAATTCCTAGCAGGTAAATGAATATAAAGTAATTGCTGCTGCTGTAAGTTAAATTGCTGAAATTACAAGTTTAGAACGTTCAGGTACGGCTTACCCACTCCATCCTCCATCAAAGGTTTCAGCAAAATAAACATCTCCAGTTGGCTTTGGAGTCTGGTACACCACCTAGAAGACATTTACAGATATGTGCTCCAACATAACTACAGTTTTTCAACTGCAATACACTACCAGACGCTATCATATTTATCAATGCTATAAAGAGCTGAAGTGACAGAGTCAAGAGGATGGAGCCAGGCTCTTTCCAGAGTAACCAAGTGATGTGGCAAGGGGCAACGCACCAAGAGGAGCACAGGAAATTCCATATGAACACGAAAACAACATTCTTTACTTGAGGGTGACAGAGCCCTCCAACAGGCTGCCCACAAAGCTCGTGGAGTCTCCTTCTCTGCAGAGTCAAGACCCACCTGGACGCTTTCCTGTGCAACCTGCTCTAGGGAACCTTCTCTAGCAGTGGGACTAGATGATCTCCAGAGGACTCCTATGGTTCTGTAATTGTACATCCATAAGTAGCCCACGCAGACAGACCACCACTGCTGCATTTAAGGGAATAAAACACGCTTCCCCACAACCCCACCTCATTGCTACGGGTTGGGCACGTGTCCTCTACCAGTGAGTTACTTCCTATCTGCCAAGAATCTGTGTGACGTGGAGGTCAATAGCAGCCAAGTACATCAAGACTCTGGGCAAGGGCTTTTAAGGCAGGAGAGTCTGCCACTTCATTCCTAACACCGTGTTAACGATGGCAGAAGAGGCTGCTAGGTTGGTTTTAGACTCACTTTCAGATACCAGAAAAAAACCTTTTCTGAGATGTCAGAGAACTAATTGGTGGTCCTCCCAGTACACACAGCAGGGAGCTCAAAGGCATGCCAGCTTACCACCACTTTCCCCATCCTCTGTTTCTTATGCCCTAATACCTTAACATTTTCAAGTCTGAAACTTCAGAAAGTTTCAGACACCAGCATAAAAGTACAGACACAGTTAAAAGACAACAACTGTGGTCAAAGCTCCTAACCAAAATACTGTTACATATAAGAACACAGAGCATTTACAAAGCTTGCAGCAGTTCTCTGCTTCCCCCCTATTTCTTTGTAAGTTTTTCCTTCTTTTGTTTTCCTGCCTACCTCACACATCACAATTGTTGAACAGTTAAACAGTTAAAAAAAATAAAATAAAATAAATAAAAAAATAAAATAAAAAAAAGAAATCTATAAAAACTGCCCAAATCTATTACCAACTATAGCTTAACAAACACAGGAATACTTTCTGGAAAGAAATAATGACTGTATTTTAATATGTTAATGATGAGAAAAACAAACAAGGAATTGATCTCATTTAAAATTAACAGTGAGACAAAGCTGCTTTCTGCTTTCTTCTCCAGTAATGACACATAAGGCTACAAGGTGTGCTATCAAGGAGAGCTTCAGATAAAAGGTTCCATGCCTAGATCAAAGGACTACAAGATCTTATTCAAGACTATCCACTGCTGGTACGAGATCCAATTTTGCATTTCAGTATAGCAGGGTCATTAAATCACACGCAATGACTGAAAAACCTCAGTCTGGTGCATTTGACACCCATTGAATTGGCAGCTCCATGTTAACTCGCTCTTTTTGAAGTCATTTGTGAACCAATTTGTCTCTCAGTATAACTATGTAACTTCAAATTACACAAGCTTCAATTAACGACATCCAGAACCTTACCCCTAAGGAAGATCCTTCTTTGTCAACATCAGCTTGTTGAGACTCTTGGTCAAAATCCTCCACTTCAACATCCGCACCCAGAACTTCATCTTCCATTTCTGCAGTTACTGAGCTAATTACCAGGAGAACCAAGCACAGCCAGTCCCACTGGGAGTGCATTCTGGTCATCTGAAGAACTGAAAAGTTTAAACTGTAAGCGTTGTTGTGGGGATATTATCACCACTAGCTCAATTGTAGTCCAGGACTTGATCTACAAGAGAAATAACACTAAAATCATAACAAATAAGGAAAGTGAAGCATTCACAACCTCCTGTTCTTTTGGCCACTACTGCCTGCACTTAGTATTCTGCCACTGAGATGCTCCCTGTGCCTCAGAGAGCAGCCACCCTAGTAAGACAGAGTAAAGCTCTTCAGCGATCATTTATTTATCGCAGCAAACTCTAATGATCACAGCAATTTCTTCTGGAAATCAAAGCCCCTTTTTTTCCTCCCTAGCTTTATCAGATCCACCAAGCAATGCAAACATTGGAAACAAAATGATAATTCTTCCATGCTCATTTATCAACCTGCTAGTTCCACCACGCAATACAAACAGAGATCGGTACCAAGGCGAAACAAACACACAAAACACCCACATCCCTTCAGGGCTGTCCAAAAAGAAAACTTTTTCATTTTATTCCTTATTCCTGCTAAGATCTGTTCACTTCATACTGTCTGTACCGACTATACCTACAGCCCAAAGTAAGCTGTTATATGCACCAGTGCCATGTCAGCATGCCAGCTACGCCATAAAAGCCTCACTCCTTAGGACAGACTTGTAGTTTTGGGGAAAGTACATTAAATTACGTTACCATTCTTCCCCCCCCCCAACTATTCTATGCCATTCTTGGTCTCTATGCTTTCCTCTCTTGTCCCAAACATCACCATTACATTTTTTTGTTTTCTTTTTTAATTCCTTCAGCACCTCCAATGCAAAACCTTTAAACTAAGCCTAATAGCTTCTGGTCCTGAAATTGCGTGCAAAGAATAAGGGAGTTCAACGGATTCTGAAGATGAGTTAACATACGAAAAGCTATGAATATCACACCTGTAAGTTTAAGCTGTTTTTGCATAGCTCGGTCACTCTACCGTGGGACCACGGGTACCCACATCACATCCATGTACCAGAAGAGACCTACGAGGCAGCAGCGCTGCTATGAGAGAAGCCCTAGGGAACAGCAACCGCACTGCAACCCCAGCACAACATTACACCTCAAGTAATGAGCCACTGCTCGTGGGACACACACAAGACAGCAGCACGACGGGAGAAACAGCAAGAAGGAACGTTCCGAGTACAAGGACACGTCTCCCGACGAGGGCAGGCAGGACGGGCCCTTCTCAGCTCAATTCCACACCCGCTCCCCCTCCACCCATGGCCACAGAGCCACGGGGCTCGGCTGCGCTCCGCCCGCAGTAACGCACGGGCAGCACAATTCCCGCCGCCGCCGCGCTGCCCCTCACCTAACGGCCGGCGCCCAGCAGCCCCGCCCGCCTTCCCCTCATGGCCGCCGTTCCCCCCCCGCCCCAGTTACAAAACAGGCGACGCACTGCGCGCCGGCCCAACGCCGGCATCCAATCCCCGCGGGGCGAAAAGCGGCCGCCCCGCGCAGCCCCGTCCCCGCGGCGGTCGGATTACCGGCGGCGAGATCCCCTTTGCGCCCCGCCGGCACTTAGCACGGATCCCGCTGCCGGCGCAGCTGTAGCCGCGCACGCGCCAGCGGAGCGCAGGGCGGCGGGCGCTGAGGAGCAGGTGCTCGCGCCGCTCCGCCCCGGCCAATCCGCGCGCGAATCGCGACCCGCACGAGCTCCGCGGGAGGGAGGGATGGGGGCGGGCAGGTGGCTGCGCCAATCGCCGCTCGGCCCGCGGCGGGCTCCGCGCTGACACTGGGCTTCGCCGCGGCGACGGCGCTGAGCGCTGTGGGGCGGCGGGCGGAAGGCTGCGCGGCTGCGGGAAGCGAGTGTCTCGTCCTCTGTTTGCTGTGTGCTTAAATGCTGTGCCTTGCATGAGGAAAAATTACTAAAGGAATGGCAAATTCCATTCAGTTAGACTGGAGGTTGAAAGCAGTATGTTTTTTTTTTCTTTTCCAGCCGAACGTTATCATCATGGTTACTGGGAATTTAAATTGGCTTATCATGGCAGTTCACAGAATCACAGAATGGCCTCGGTTGGAAGGGACCTCAAGGATCATGAAGCTCCACCCCCTGCCACACGCAGGGCCACCAACCTCCCCATTTAATACCAGACCAGGCTGCCCAGGGCCCCATCCCACCTGGCCCTGAACACCTCCAGGGACGGGGCATCCACAGCCTCTCTGGGCAGCCTTTTCCAGCACCTCACCACTCTCTCTTTAAGAATTTCCCATTGACATCCAACCCAGATCTTCCCTCATTCAACTTAATATCATTTCCCCTTGTCCTGCTGCTATGTACCCTTTCCAAGAGTTGACTCCCCTCCTGTTCGTAGGCTCCCTTTAGGTACTGAAAGGCTGCAATGAGGTCACCCCGCAGCCTTCTTTTCTCCGAGCTGAACAAGCCCAGCTCCCTCAGCCTGTCTTCGTAGGGGAGGTGCTCCAGAGCCCTGACCATCTTCGTGGCTCTCCTCTGGACCCTCTCAACAGCTCTCTGTCTTGTACTGGGGGCTCCAGACCTGGACACAGTACTCCACATGGGGCTCACAAGGGCAGAGTTGAGGGGGACAATCTCCTCCCAGTCCCTGCTGGCCACCCCTCTTCTGATGGAGCCCAGGATCCCATTTGCTTTCCGAGCTGCGAGGGCACACTGCTGGCTCAAGTTAAATTTTTCATTCAAGACCCCCAGGTCCTTCTCTGCAGGGCTGCTCTCAAGGACCACTCCTTCCAGTCTGTTTAGATGCCTAGGATTCCTCTGGCCCAAGTGCAAAACCTTGCACTTTGCTGGGTTGAACCTCATTAGGTTCACCCGGGCCCATCTTTCAAGCCTGTTGAGGTCCCTCTGAATGGCATTCCTTCCTTTCTGTGTGTCAACCACACCACACACCTTCCATCATTTACCAGTCTGTACACAAGGCCTCTTTTTCCCCCACAAATTGAATCAACTTGCTCAAATGAACAAAACCAATTCCTGTAAGTAGAGACTGCCAAGAAATCCAACCCCATTTCAGCAGCAGCAAAGCTGTTGTATGAATTCCATTCAGCCCTCACCCGGCTCTGCAGAACCAGAGGTGTGGGGTTGCTGCCCCCACTGATGTTCTGGCTTGGCTCAGCTTGAACTCATGAATTCTGGCAGCAGTACTGGCTAAGCCAATTTAAATCATGAGGTACAGCAGGAATATCTTCAAATGTGCAGCATGTGGCACAGGCAAAAGCAATGCCTTGTGATATATACTAACTCAGCAAAATCTTTCACTGTTTTGCTGGTTGAGCTGGATGTTGGCCTTTGATGCACAATGCTTGCTTTACTATGGTTTATGCCTACCACATATTAATTTGCTAAGTAGCCTAAATCCCTCAGAACTGTTGGGAGTTAACATGAGAGCATGCACAATGAACCATAAATGTAAATGCTTGTATTTATTTTTGTGACATTCTGCCTTCCAGGGTTGCTGTAAACTAATGCAGAAGCTTCAAACTTCATTTGATTCTATTTGTATTTTATAGAATCAAAACTTAAGAGTGTTGTGGATTGTTTCAACTACAAGCTCCAAAAATGAATGTAAACATCACAGCTTAAACACAGTGTATTTATACGGTATTTATCACACAGAATCATGGAATCATAGAATGGCCTGGGTTGAAAAGGACTGCAATGATCTTCTGATTTCAACCCCCGTCCACGTGTAGGGTCTCCAACCAGCAGACCAGGCTGCCCAGGGCCACATCCAGCCTGGCCTTGAATGCCTCCAGGGATGGGGCATCCACAGCCTCCTTGGGCAACCTGTTCCAGTGTGTCAGCACCCTCTGTGTGGTGCACATAGAAAAGCCACGTACTTTCTTCTCTTATTAAGGAGTAGCTAATGTTCCAAAGGCTCTGTTAAACCTTAATTCAAATCCTTCTTTACTGTACTTTTCAAAAATGGCACCATACTCCTACACAAGCTTCAGTCTTTTGACACCTCTAGCTAAAAAAAATACCCAAGGAATATTCTTGTGCAATCCATCATGAAAAAAAAGATGAAAACTGTCCTTACAGCTTGAAGTACACATACATCCTTTTGGAAGCATCTGGAGATTGCAAGAGTTCTGCTTATTGCAGGATTATCCTACTGGTTGTTGTAAGGCATCTGTGAATGGTTCATCTGGAATAAGTAATATTTATGTAAAAAACAGTGAAGTTGAAGGAGGGGAACCTTAGTTTGTGTAACAGATCAGAGAGCCAACAAATGTGTGGCTTAGAGTAATAGAAAATGTTAATTTTGAGGAGAATTGTACTTCTGTTACACTCCATTGCCTTAAACTTACTGGTGCTATAACATGCACTACTTACTTATCAGTTAGTTACGTTATCCAACATTAGGTTGGATGTCATGGGGGGAAGCTCTTTACTATCAGACTGGTGAGGTGCTGGAACAGCTGCCCAGAGAGGCTGTGGATGCCCCGTCCCTGGAGGTGTTCAAGGCCAGGTCGGATGGAGCCCTGGGCAGCCTGGTCTGGTATTAAATGGGGAGGTGGGTGGCCCTGCGTGTGGCAGGGGGTTGGAGATTCATGATCCTTGAGGTCCCTTCCAACCTTGGGCATTCTGTGATTCAGTCCTTCACTGAAAATTCAGAGTCCTTCTCCTGAGGTTCCTTTCATCATACAGTTGAGCCACGGTTCCACAGACATTGCAAGAAATCTCTTGCTCCTTAAAGCACAGGAAAGCATAGGACTCAGCAAAATTTTACTAAACAGCGCGTATGTAAGAATTCATTATTTACTTTTCATTTTTACATTTTTTACATTTTTCCATTTTAACATACTTTTTACATTTACAAGGCTCATTTACATTAAAGTAATGGGAAGCGTGTTCTGTGATTGCAGTGGCTGTAGTTTGACCACTGCTCTCACCAAACCCTTTTGAGTGTCAATGTTTTTGGCTAATAAAGTTTCCCTCTGTGTACCTTTAAGTACTTGAAATTACTGCATTAATTCTTAAACTGCACTAAATTTTTAACCTAGTGAAGGCTGCAATACCTGGTCCATGAAATACACAGGTACATGTGTGGAGCCAAATACGTGTATGTGTACTTTCAAGAATATTGTAAGTTAACAAACTATTTTCAGAGCTTCAGGTGCTAAAAAAGTGATAAATGAAGTCTGCACATCACAGACAGACGTTCAAGGTGTCGTTTCCCAAAAACACCTCAAGTGAGACTACTGCAGTTTGCCATTTATTTTCAAGTTTGTGCTGAGTTTTGGCTCGTGACCAGCACAGAAGTATCAGGACATAGTGATTATCAAATGGCAGGATACAAAATTTTATTTAAATAGATATTCTTCCTACAAAAATATAGTTACACGTGTTACACCAATTATTTCCTGTAGTTAATTCAATGCACAATTCACAGAAAAGTTGTACAAGCTTCTGTACAATACCTCTTTGATTTTCAAGTTATTCAAATGGTAGCTAATAAGCTATTTCCATTTAAAAATCATAAAATTAAACATACTTTTTGCTACATTAAGGCTAAAACGTGGTAAATTTGAGACCCACTTTCATATAGGTAAGTTAATCCTTTCTCTGGTGAAGTGTTGTACTTGCACGAAATACTGACAGTTTTTCCTTCAGTTCTAGTTTCCCTTCAAAACTGACCAGTATTCTTAATGCACTTGCAAACCACGTCCTTAATATTCCCCCCAAATGTTCATAAATTTAGTTCTAGTGAACTAGAAATACACTGTCCTGTTTTGTCCCTGAGGTTGCCTGTAATGCCTGCAATGTCAACTGCTTACGGTGATATGTAATGCTGTCCAACTGAGACAGTTTTTGTACAGAACAGCTTAACAGCACTTTATGGAAGTTTCTAACATAATGAGGTTTTGCATAGCTTTTAATATTTCTAACATAAGGATTTAATAATTTTTACAAGTTTTTAACAATGATCTCCACGCTTCCAATACACAGTATTGGGTCTGGATTTTTATGTATCCTCTCAGGTTTTTTTTTGCTGCTAGATTAGTCTTCAAAACAAGCCTGTGACAAGTAACGTGTCAACAGTATACTTTTTCCAGTTCTCAGTTTTCAGACATCTTGATAAGTACCTGAAAAAAACAACAAAAATCCAAAAGCCATAGACCATATTTTCTGAAGTGTACTTTTTCTTACTTCCAAGTATGACTATAGCAACTGCCAGTGATTGCATTCCACTGATAGGTTCAGACACATTCAGATATTTGGTTGAAACTTGCAGGAAAAACAACAACAAACAAACCACGTGGTCATTTGAAAATATTTGCATACAGTAATTATTAATATCCAAAATGGTGGAATCCTCCCCGTGTCCTCTGGTTTGTCATCACCCAAATTCTAGTGGCTGTATTACAGCACTGCAAATAATGGTCAATTATTCCATTTCAGCACTTTTTCTATGAAATAAATTCTCATCCACTTAATAATTAATACGGTTCTCCACTTTTTTCACAGAGAATCCAACTCCAAATTAGATAAAAACTAGTGACTATCAACTCCATGCCGTAAGAGAAATTGAAATCAACCTACTAAAGCTTTTATTAACAGACATACCTCACTCAGTATTGCCCATACAGGGGAATCAGAATGGACTACTAAACGAATAGCCAGTATTTCTCCTACTGATGGATCGATATTGCCTTCTGCAATTCCATTTTCAAAAGCCCCTAAATGAAAAATAAAGCATAATTACAAGTCCCTGTTAGATTAAAATGCACTTTTAAGTGAACTTATGTGAAAGTTCTACATTAAGAAATAACTCTAGAACGTGAGGGGAAAATGTTTGGAAAAGGTCAAACTATAGCCACTGAAAGGCAATGCTTATAAATAACAAGAGCTTTCCTGAGGAGTTGTTCTAGAAAGAGATACAAGGAATCACGTATCAATTCTGATACACTCCTTCATCAGCTCTACACTTTGTAACCTTGTCAAACTGGCAAATGAAACTGACAAATGAAAAACACTCGTTCCATGTGTGATATTCACATCCTGTGAACTGCACGTAGAACTGTAAATTGACAGCATTTGGTTTTGGATCTTTCATTAGATTGAAACAACCAAGAGGAGGTGAAGGTAAGATACAGATGAAAGCAAACAAGAAGCGATGATGAACTGAAAATGGTTCATTAGGAAAAAACAGCAATTATGCGACAGAACAGGCAGAAGAAAAGTGGAAGGAAAGCATGTCTCCCAGTGGACCATTTTTATTCACATAATGGCATTTTAGTTCAGGTAACAGTAGGCAACAAGCCTTGGCAGATACCTGGTGAATCTGCAGTTCAGTCAAGCACTGCTCTGAAGGGGAACTTTGTGTGCCAAAATGCAATGTGTTATGCTTCATCATAATCAATATGAACTCCTTTTTCTTTAGCTAAGGCTGCAAAATCCAAACCAGAAACACTTATCCAATAAAAACCTTGCAGAGGCTGCGTTGTTCTCCTTGTTGACGATTGCTATAGAGCCCTTCCGACATCAGTCGTTCTGTGATTAGATGCCTTTCCTTTTGGCACTGCAGCTACAGCCCTTCATTAATCAAAACAAAATAGGTGCAACATCTCATACTACAACACACAATAGCACAAAGGCTTCCTATCCCTTACGAGTTTCTACACTGCAAAGTTGCATTCCTTACAGAGCTAAGGAAATTCTCAAGTGCAAATCATTTTATATGGAAGAAAAAATGCCTGTTTTTAAAGCAACAATGAACTATTTACCTATCTTTAAATATCCATCTTTGGTTGCAGTGTAGTTAAATTTACTTCTGTTGCCAACCAGTACTTTCCTTACAGCTTCCTGTAAGAAACAGAAGAATAAAACCTCAGCAGCACTTTCTAGAACACGATCCTACAGGCCAAATATCATCCGTAAAATGAAATCATGTCTTATATATTGCAGTTGGAAGTAAGAGACTTACATCAGCTGGCAACACTTCCACAGTAGTGTCATATAGTATATCACCAGGGTAATCCATATTTCCACTTCTAAAAAGGTATCTGATTAAAAAAAAAAAAAAGGCGTATTATTTGGAGTAACTTTAAACGTTAGAGAAGTTCTAGAGAAGTAATATTTTCCTTCTCTGAAGGAACCTCTAAAATACCTTCAATTAGTTGTAGGCTAGAGAGAGCAGAAATAGGCATTGAAACTTTCTCATGTGTCGCCAAACTATACTAGGATATTTTCATTTTAAACAAAACAAGCATTAAAACCATTTTTCTCTGGGAAAGAGGGAATACAAGCATTCCCTATTTTCAGTGCTCAAAGTCTGAATGGATTCATTTTTCCACATTTAAATAGCTAAGGAAGGTCTGTCCTTGAATTCGTTCCTATCATCCTAAGGCCTAGGTAAGTTGGGGCTTCTGGAATACAGAGACACGAAACATCTCAGAACTGCATATGCTAAATGCCAAGAGAACCCCCCTCTTCATCGACACGGATCAGTTCAGCTGCTCTAAATAATCCACAACACTTGTTAAGGAGCAAAAGCACCGCCAAAGCCTAAAACAAGGATCTGCATATTGGGGTGGGAGGATCTCTCTGAATGAGAAAAAAACATTTAAGGTGAAACTTGGTTATTCATAGAGACGTCTTAAGTTACATGTCTGGCTGTGACCAAAGTGTTTTTATAGGCAGAACAGATGTATTCAGTACAGCCAACGAAACAAATCCTGGATTTCATATCCTCAAGTTTTAAATCCTCAGTGATCAGGCTATGCTTTATGCAAACAGTTGAACTCTGGTGATTTTGAACAGACTCAGTACCCAAACTGTATATATGCAGTCTGTCATAATCCATACCACGTAATACTCACTTTTCTACTTTTAGTGGCTTCAAAAAGGTGAAGCTGATATAGTCCCCAGCCATTGGAGATGAAGCCCAAAAATAGCCTTTTCCTTCATAAACATCTTCCAAGGTATATTGCTGGTATATTCTTAGACTTGTAGCCAGTTTTGCAGGTGGATTATTATGTGCTTTATGTAGCACACTTCTGCCAAAGTCTTTATCCTGTTGGATATAAGAAATGTAATTTCACCCCTAAAAGTATGATGAAAACAGTGCTCCAAGTTCTTGAATTACCACGGGTTGCTATTCCAGAAAACACTTACTTTAAAAATATACCATCTTTTTTGTGATAGAAAAAGAACATTCATTTCAGTGTTATCACTGTGATTCAATGTTATTTTGTAAACGGATCAGTAAAAGAAACTTCTTGAGCGTAGGCTATTTTGTGGTTATCTACTATGCCTTCTACCAGAACATTCAATAACAGAGGCTACCTAAACATTTAGTCTGATCTAACACTGATCTTGTGAGCAGTCTAAATGGCACCAACAGAATGGCACCCACAATCTGGTGCTTCACTGCTCATCCTTATCAAATACCTGGCAGATATACTTGTTTGTGCTCCAAACTCTCCATACAAATCTACTGCAATCAATAGAATCATGCCTTTATCCTACCAGTATACTTCTCTTATCAATAATCCTTTGTATTAGTAATGTTGACTATTAAGCCAAAACAGACCACCATAACCATTTATGTTTGTACAGCACATGAAAACTTGTGCTGCGAAGAGGGTTCCTACACATCAGGCTGCTCTGACTGATGCAGGTATTTAGACTAGAGACGAAGACTGTTTGTGCACAAGCAGTATGCCCCATCTGCAATTCACATGCCAGAACAATATTCTCCCCCAGAACTGTAAGCTAGCATTTCTAGGATATGGAGGTGCCACCTAACGCTGAAGATGCGATGCTCGATACCAAACTGAGAAACAAACCAAAACATAAGCATATAACTTGCAACTAGGGCAATCATTTCTTATGCTTACTTTCAAATTTTGTATCTTCCCAGACAGTGATGAATGAAGCCCCATATGCTGGAAGAGAGATGGCTTAGCACGGATACGTAACTTTGCCTTTTCCTTTTCACAGTGTGCCTGGAAAAAAAAAAATAAAAGAGGGTGACATTTCATTTAAATAAAGGAGATGCTAGCTAACTTCCATAGGGCAATTTCATTACGTAGTTCAGTGTATGGGTTCAGGTCTTTTTTAACCTACATATACATGAGTAATCCTTAGATTACTAGACATTTTATCTCAAATACACTTTCCAGACATAAGCTCATCGTAATTCCACTTGTGGAGCAATGTATATTTGCAGGCTCAACCACTATTAATTCAGGGATTTGTGCCCTGTATATCATCAATCACACCTCAAGAGTAAAATACACCTCAGATAGAAAGCTGGTGGATTTTTGTAACTGCTTCTGGCAAATTTTCTTTCAACTCCTGGCCTTGCCATATGATTCTGCTTTGACCAAAACCAATCCTCTTGAGATAGACTCCGCTTACATTTCTGTTTGGCTCTTTCTGCTATGTATAAGAATATTACAATGTAATATACTGTACTAAACTCTATGTCACGTATCTATCGTTTACCCTAGAACTACATAAAGCCCCTAGATACTGTATTTGTATCCTTGTTTTCCAGTGTAGACACACTTTGTGACATGACATATACCAGGGAATGAAATAACCATAACTGGTACCAGTTTCTGGGCTTCCTGCTTTTCGACTGACAGCTCATCATTTCTTTAAATGAAATTGCTGCACTCTATTCTCAAAGCATCATGGTTAGATACAATGAAACATACATCTTACAATAATTAATAAAGCATGATAAAAAGGAACAGTGCAAAGAGTTGGAATTAGTGTCCCCAAGACTCTCAGTTCTGCCTCAAAATAATTGTATGAGTTCAGAAAATCATTTAACCACTCTATATCACAGACTTTACATATTTAGATGTGAGAGGATAATGTGTTTACCTCTTCAACAAAGTGCTTTCAATTCTATAAAAGAAGACACGTAGCATAAATTACATCAATGCTAGACATTATAATCCTCACTCAACTGGCTTAAACAATAAAACACACAGGGGATTTCTGGTTCTTAAAGAAGTACTAATTAAAAGTAAAAAGTAAAAAAAAAACCCAACACCTGGAAGGCTCTTAACAGAACCAAGTATTTAATGTGTGCCCACAGCAGACGTTCAGTAAGACAGTGTAAGAACACAGTACATGCTGACCCTCCCACGAGGAACAGTGTGATCGATCAAGTAGCAACCATTCTCAGCTACTCCAGAGTGGGAAAGTGTGAGGATTTCTGTCATCTTGCCTTTTCTTCATCTACAGGAAACTCCAGCTTTCAAATCACTTTCAGATCAATTGTATTTATACAGGAGGAACAGCAGCTGGGATCCCTCTCATTCTCCCAGCCTCCATTTTCTGTATGCACGTGAACAGTCCTAGCTCGTTTCTAGCTTCGTTTCGTCACTGGTCATTGCTTTGCAGGGGCAGCACAAGACTAGCTTGATTCAACATTTTTATTTTTATTTTTTTGCCATGCACAGCAACTGAAATTGAAATCGCCATAACGAAGGTCACTAGAAATTCTGTGTCAGCTTCTCTGCTTTGGTTTGGCCAGGACAGGCTCACACTGCCTGCCTTTCAGGAACATCGCATTGTTTCACATATCATTTATGCATAGTATAAGGGAGAAGAGTCGTTTCAGAAATGAAAGCAAAATGTTTAATTAGTAGGAGTTGAGGACGGTACACGTGAGACACATATGGAATGGGTGGCATTAACATAACAATGTCTTTTTTCACTCTTATCAGAGTTTAAGCAAGAGCCTAAATTAGAGGTACTTAAGGATCTAGACCGACTCTAGAGTAGGATTTCAAAGCTTAATCCTATCTGCACAAACTGGGAATAGAGACTCCTCAGAGGCATTGCTGAAGTGTGAAATCAGGTACCTTCTGCTGTACCCAAGTTACCTCTGCTATACAGTAAAACTGAAAGCCTGTTGTTCAGCTCTCCTTAGGCTCCTGTTCTGCACAACTCCCATCTGACTCTTCTTCCTTATCAATACAAAAATAACATGTGTGCAAACACGTCATGTGGGGACTGACTACACTAATCAAACCAATCTTGAACCTTAAAAATATAATGGAGAACTTCCAGTCATTTCTACGTGGCATAGTATTGTTGTACAGGAGAAGTGTGAGTAGTGACCAGCACCAAAGGCCAGTCAAAGAATGCAGAAGGACATAATACTTAACATCTCATCAAATTCACCTGTCATGCTTTAAGTGCTATCCTTTGCAATTCAACCAACACAACTGTTTCTTTCATTTTCAGTGAACAGTATCATTTCATCCTTCCAATCTACGCATTTCCCTCTGTTTTGTCTTGTTTTCAGGCAAAGAATCAAGTTTTTTCCCAGGCAATTAAAAATTTCAAGTAAAACACTTATGCTCTGATGCTGGAGAGAAAGGAAATTTTATGCAAAATTCAGAACTGCATTTTTAAGATTGTATGCTGCCCTGACTTGTGAAAACATCAGAAGTAATGTCATTGGAAAGTTATGAGAAATGACAGTCATGTATTCAATGTCACGTATCCAAAACCGTCTTTGATGTTGCAGGGTTGTTTAAGTGAGCAGCTGCAGCAGATAGGAGTTTGCACTGGCTGTATTCTGACCTGACAGATGTCAAACAACTCTGACATGAAAATCTGAATTTCTATAAGTCATCCTCTTCCTCTGCCCTAGTGGGCTCCAGCACAGTGCCATACTATGCAGACCCGTATCGGCTCTTGTACTGAGAGGTTTTCATGCTGCTTCTAGAAGCTAAATAGTGTCGTGACAGAGACTGAGCATTACTTCTGTTCATAAATGCATAGACATACTTACTGCATCCTTTTCTGGATTGCACACTTTGACCCAGAGCAGGTGGTCCAGAAGCCAGTCTATGGGCTTATCTTTATAGAACATCAGAAAAAATTCTACTATAAACGGCAAGTCTTCTGATTTAAACAATTTTCCTGAAAGCAAGACAAGTTGGATATTTCAGTATTTTTATTGCTGCACAGTAAGCATTCAGCAGCTTTATGTTCTGGAGTACCCATGGCCTTAAACACACAGACGCAATCCTGATGTTTAATGGGACTTTTACATAGGCTTCTGCTTTGGAACTTAACTCCATCCCATGCATGAAGACATTCTCACACAGTCAACCAGGTGAGTAGACAAGCATGCACTTATATCCTGGTCCCAACATAAATCTGCCAGTCGTTTCTATCCGTGTTTCAGATGAAAAAGTCTGAGCAACCTCTCAAATCGTTAGGCATACGATTTCAATGGCAATTATACACTGACTATATTTAGGTTAAGACCTAAATAAAAGCCTTTAAAACTCTATCAATATTCATTTAGTATCCTTGCTGCTTTTATTAGCAGATTTTATTAGATTTCCTTGTTTGACCTAACACAGGTGTTATCACAAGTAAATTATGTTGTAACCTACGAAAATAAAATGTAAAAGGGAACTTACTATTATAAAAACAGAAAAACAAAAAAGAAAAAAAACTTTACCACAATATGGGCTGCATGTTCTGCTCCACAAAGGAAAGAAAATAGATGTTTCACTGACTGCAAATTCCGTTTGTGAAAAGAAGGCTGCAGGAGCACACAGTGCCCTGATACAGAACAAACTGCTTCTTAACTGAACCCAACAACTAGACTTTGTGCTGTATTATAAAGACAGAGGCAATGAGCACGGAAAGTAAAAGGCTTCCAGTGGAAGCTTTCCTGAGAGACAGTTAAGTTCTGATATACAAGTCCTGCCATATAAGAAATGTAATTCTGAATGAGATCTGCTTGAACAAACTGACAACTGCAGAAGCCTTAATACTTACCAATAAATCCAAGCTGGGAGAACTCAAGAACCACCCACTCTTGGGACTGTTCAGCAGCAAAGTTTTCTATGCTTTGAATGTAATCAGGTTTGGCTACAATATCATCCTCCAGCTGGGAAGAAACAAAAAGAACAAAGCCAATTGATGGTTTTATTGCTTGCAGAGGAGGTGGTGGAGTTGCCCCTTGTGAGTGATAATCACACGATGTCTGGCTGCTGCACAGGCTGTAGCGAAGCTGTGCCATACTGCAGAGGATTGCTGTTTTGCTTCTACATATCACTGTTTTGGTATCATTCATTAAATACTTACTTCCCATGATTGCTTCTCTTTCACTTAGGAAATAAAAAAACAACCAAACAACCGTAACGCAAAAAGATAGAGGTTAAGGAAAGCAACAGAGAGTTTGTATCAAAGTTGTACAAGCAGCGTAAGTAAACTGTTTGGGAAGAAAAGCTTTTAAAGCAGATGGCCTGCAGCTTGACAGATTAGCCCAGGAAGACTCTGTTATACCTAAAAGGTGAGGGAGAAGTGGGGACTCTTATTGACATGCTAGTGCAACACATTTCAGGGAGTACATTCTTCTCATGGAAGAAGGAACCTGCAGTAAAACAGCAGAAATGCAGAGAACTTTCAACACATTGTGAGGGCCGAAACTGAACACAGCAGCAAAGCCAACTAAAGGACAGTCAGAAAAGTAAAATGGCACCCATCAAGGAAATGGGAAAAGACTTGGCAGTTTTTGCACTGTTTTCAGAGAAGAATGGGAGATCTGAAAAATAGAAGCTGTGCCGGTTACTAAATCTGCAGATAATGACTCTGAACAAAGAGTTTAGAGGCAAATAAAATAAATGAATGTAAAAAAAAAAAAATTAGGAGAAAGTAAATCAGGAGTTGAATGTGGTATGAATGAGAAAAACACAGGAAGAGGAGTCGAAGCCTTCAGGAAAATATTGTTGGAGTGCAGCGTATCGATACAATTCATTTGGTCTAACTGCTGTACTTTATTGCTTCTAGTGTTCGTCTGATAGCATTCGAACCTGGTTAACGGAGCTAAACTGGTAGAAAATGAATGCTATGGGGAATAAACGGTTTCCTGCTGGTTTTGCACATTCAACAAATGCAGCAACAGAAGTCTAAGGGAGCAGGTCCCCAGCTTTAAGCTGAATTTGGTCATTAGAAGTATACAAGTGTAAGGTTGGGGAGGGAGAAATGGGTCACCAACAGTGAAACAAGGAGGAAGTAGAACAAAATTGAATGACAAGATGAAGAGATCTGCTTTGATCCTGCCAGCTTATGCTGATGGTGAGTTACAAAAATACAGAAGAATTGAGGTCAAAGTTAACTGTTAATAACAAGATCTGAGGTGGAGTTAAGGAGACAGTAATACGGAAGAGAAAACAACAACACAAAAAAACCCAAACCAACCAAACCCAAACCACCACTAACACTAAACGTAAAAGGAGGAGAGCAGGGAATCAAAGAGAGTTTCAGAGAACCCTCACAGACAAATTGAGTGAACACAAAAAAGTACAAGGCAGAGAAAAGTATCTCAAAAATACCTTCATATCTCACAAACACCTCCTTACTGAGAAACACCAGAAGAAAACATACAGAATAAAAATATAGAGGCTGGAATGCAAAGCGGTTGTGAATGTAGCTTTGACTAGGGAGAGGTCTGAAACGGCCTCTTCCAGAGCTGACAGTTGACAGGGATCATTAGACAGTATAATTTGATCTCCTATGTAGCACATGCTAAAAAAAGGAAATTAATTGTAATTAAACTGAGCCCATGATTTGTGTTCCACTAAGCATATCTTCTTGAAGAGCGTTTGCCATTGCGTAGGGATTTCAGTACCTGTTATTCTTTACAGTAAGTCACATTCTATGCAATTACCTTTAATACACTGCATCTACATTCTACTTCAGACTTTTCTGGTTTCAGCTTACAGCCAATTGTTCTTCACATGCTCTTATCTGCAAATGGAAGCTATGAAGTGGCAATACAGAGCTTGGTCAGGAAGCTGGAGATAAACACTGTCTAGCTCATCTTGCCCAGTTGCCATCCAAGAGCTGCCTAAGAGAAGGTAGAATCAAGAAGCAACAAGAGCTGTAGCGTATAAGGGCAGTGCAGGCATCTGACAGGAATGCATCTTCCTTTCTAAATTATACTACTGTATTCTTCTGTTTGAATCACTGTTCAGCAAATCTGAAGATTGCTACGCTGAAAAATCTCACTCTCTCATTTTGTACAGAAATAGTTGATTTATTAAACTCCTGGGTTTTTAGTATGAAGAAAATGTCAGATAAAAATACACTTTTATGAAAGTTACTCAACTTAAAGCTCTACCAAATAGGAGGCCAGACAACAACCTACATATCTCTGTATGTTGTATGTAAAGACACAATGCAGCTCCCCAGTCTCCCTGAGGAAAACCTTATGAAGCAAAAACAAACAAACAAACACCTTAGTAATAACTCAATTAACTGAGTCCGAAGTAGATAACAGATTTTAACTAGGGATTCTAATTGTTCTAATGTTTTATGTTTGCTCACGTGAATGTTGATAGAAAACACTTCCTTACAATTGCTGCAAAAATGCTTTCACATGTAAGATGTTTCAGAATGAACTCAGCCTACAGGAACACAAAGAACAAATACATCTCCTCACAACTAGTCCTGGATTTGGACGCCTGATTTTTAGCTATGCTAAAATCCCATGAACTTGGCTCTGATATTATTAAAGTGTCTCAACTGGCCCTGGTAAATTCCAGGAAATGCAGTGAAAACCATTACTTCAAAATGTTCTTATTAAGAAAACATCAGCATAATTTCACTACAATCAAACCAAGTATGTCTTCATCTGAACTTTCTGGGTTGAAAACTCGCTTCTCAGAACTGCCACTATTCCTGTTGTTTCTGTGTTCTTTTTGTTTATCTCATGTTTCTACAAAAGCTGCCTAAGTCACAACAGTGTTCTACAGCTCTGTCACTGTGGAACGCAGACCCAGGATGATGGCTAAACCTAAGTGCGTGCATGGGGAACGTATGAATGCATGGGGATCTTACAATCTAACACTAAATCATCTGGTGAATTAAGGATTCATACAAACCTGCTGCACAACCTTGTCACTGGTGTCTCTACTCTGCAATATTTCCTTATCTGGAAAAGTCACATAAGGTCTTTTGGTTCTTCATGATTTGGGCTATAACCTGGATTTATCACCATTATTCTGCACCAAATGAAAATACGCTAAACTCTGACTCTCTTTACCTAATGCTTCAGTTACCTTATCATCACATGTCATGGAGGTACAAAAGGATTTAATGAAATACATAGCTACAAGATATGTATGCAAACACAGAAATATATAGATGTTTCTAAAGAACACAAAAACCACACAGGAAACGACATTTTTATTGAAGACTTAGGAAACAAGAAGTCAAAAGTTAATAATCAAGAGAGATGTATTGTAGCTGCTTAATGATCATGTGAACATACCTGTAAATAAAATGTTCCCTTAGGTTGAGCATACAGCATTAAAAAGCTATAATCCAAATTCTGTTTCGTTCTCCACCTAAATACAAGCAGTACATTCTGAAAATCCTCTTGGGTAATTTCCAAAAGTTACTTGTATAGTAAAAGCATTAGAGCAACAAAATCATAAGGTTGAGTATTCTAACTCATTGATAAGTGAACAAGAAGAAATCAAGTAGTATTTTTTATCTAAAAATTTCCTTTCAATTGGTGTAGATCAGCAAATAATTTGAATTCCCCATAAAAGCTGATGTTAACTAAGCAAAACATTTAAATCTGTATCAAGTCATCCTGAAAATAAACGTTCTAAATGTTTAAGCAGTAGGTTCATTTCAAATGACTTAAGGAGCCTACTCACTGCATTATGAACAGTAGAGGTCAATACACAGTTACTATTTAAAGATCATTCACAACATTATAAAACTGAGTGCTTTTACTGATCGAGAATAGAGAAGCAGGTAGGCAAAATTTTTTTATTCTGAAAAAAAAAAAAAAAAAAAAAAAAATTCATTTTCTAATTTAAATGCAAACACAGATTTTTCTCTGTGAAGTACAGCATCTCATTTCACCAAGGGAGGAAGCTGGTACTCAGTATTCAATGCCAAATATCAATACATAAAACAATTAACACCAAAGTGCACTCCCAGTGTACCTGATTCAAAACTAATCATACCTGAAACTTAAGTACATAAGAATGCTTATGGTCTGGAAAACAGAAGGTTTATCTATAAATCCCTTACACTGGTTGAGTTCAATCAACTCTAAACTCTAAGCACTGCACACCTCTTGTTTATGCAGCTCTTAGGCACACTACTGCTTTTTTGCATAAATTACAGTTATTGTTGGTCAAAAGAAAATCATTTTCCTCCAGTGGATCAATTTTGTTAGGTTATAATCCCAGCTTCAGTGAATTTGAACGAAATCCCCCGAAGTTAAATCATTAACAGTACTAAGAAACGTCCATCATCGCAAGTTAGGTCATTAATTAAACCCACATTTATTGTTACTAGTTATTAAAGGAGTCACACGGGCTTTTCTTTGCGCATTCTCAGATCCTCTCCCTTGTTTGTTTTTCCTTTATCACTTGATTATCTAGCCTATCATCTCTTGGAATTATCAGCTTTAAAACCCACGGGATGCCCAGAGACAGGACACAAAGGTGAAGCCCTGGCTGTCACTATGAAGCCCATGTACAGCATTAGATCTTAACAAGAACTCCTTCTATAATGATTCAAATAAATAAATAAGTACATCAATTGAGGGGGTTAAGGAGGGGGGAAGAGCACACTTGAGATCCGTTAGCTCTGAAATACAAAAACCATATCACCTCAAACAACACTGACTTGAAAAGTTTTCCATTTCATACTCTTAGAAAAGAGCTCTTAGGTTTTATTGAAGCTGTCTTACCTTACTCTGTCCTCCGAATCCCCAAATGTTTTCTTCACGTTGGAAAGATCTGGATAATAAGAAGCAGGAGGAGAAATAATCTCTAGGACTCCAGACTGCACCTCTCTGGGGAAGCTATGAAGAAAAGTTTAGAGAGACTCTATTTTTCAAAAAGATTTTTGACTGTAACCACACACAGTGGCTCCCAAAAATTGCATCTGCATCTCCAGAAGTGGAATTCACAAGTCTAGCAAAGAACATAATCACACATATTGCCAGGTAGGGGCATTAGGAACCAAGCTGAGAGCCTTGACAACCATTAGAACAGGCAGTACAGTATCTCTTTCAAATAACAAAAAACATGAAAGAAAATATTGAATTGAAAATCATATAAAAATGTAGCAGTAATTAACAACAAAATTAACTACCTAGAATCACAGCAACTGTGCAAGAACTACCATGTTCCTTACTCTTCCTCAATCTACTTTTACATCCCAACCGAAATGACACTGTCTTTTATGGAGGTCTGGCATGGAGGTTTAGGTCTCAGCTCTGTTCTTCATCTTAAAAGTCACTGAAAAAGCATATATCATCTCTTGCTTTCTTTCAGATAACTGCAGTTCAGGGCTTTCAGCCTTACCTGTGTTGTGACTGTTAGCTACGCTACCTGGCTTCTTAGAAAACACCTTTCATCAGACCAAATGAATCTACCAATGAATGCGTTCTTGTATGCCAGCACTGCTTTCTAGTAGTGTTTTTCTCAAGCTGCTCTAAGGTTTTTCACAGCTGTAAATGTCCACGTGAAAGAACGCAAAGCAAAACTGCACTAGGATCCAAGTCTTCTTTTGTTAATGCTAACGTTAATTTTGCATGGCTAAGAAAATCTATCTCATGTTACCCATCATTTACTAGTGCTTCACATCATGTTATAATTTGATTGCTGCCCCAAATCCACTGCCTTCATGAAATACGGGCTAACAAGGAAACAAAACCACCAGAAAATATGATAAACATCAGGACTGTAGGGCTAGGAAGTCAGGGGGGACAGAGTACATGTAGCCCGAAGTGGTTACAATTGCATCATTATGTTTACAGAGAAAAGACTTAGGTTCAAGTAAATATTTGTCAAGAGACTTGAGCTGAGGCCTCATTTGATTATTTAAAACATATTTATGAACATAAAAAGGAAAATAAACTAGTATATATCCCTGTGTTCTGAATTTATGATACACGTACTAAGACTGCACCTTTGTCTCATTTCTTAGCAGTTCCATTTCAGTATGGTAGTACTATAATTTACTGCTGAAATGCTCTAATTCTTCCCATAAAAGCTCACAACTTGTCTATCAGCTGCTGAATGTCGCACTGCACAGGACTTACCTGGTTTTAATACTTTCTGCAACACCGTTAACATATTCTGCATTCACCTAAAGAAAAGAGGAGGGCTTTCATTTCAAGTCACTCATTTTTGCATTAAGCACTAAGCAACATTTTGAAGGAAATATTTATATGAAAGCACTTCATTTCTATTCTCTAATGTATTTCATTAGAAACAAGAGCAATGTGTTACAGTTCTATTTCCACTGCAGGGCAGTATGACATTTTGTTTGTTCATTACTTCTGCAGACAGCCAAGCTATTTTCTGCAGAAACTGCTCTACAGCTTTCACTCACACCAGAAAAGCACAGCTGTGTAACTGTCACTAAAAGGAATTATTTGGGATCAGTCATCCAAATATCATAAAAAAGGCCTGTGCCTGTTGAGAAAAGTTGCCTAAGTAAGATTTTATAAAGCTAACAAAGCTTCAAATGTTTATTTAGTTTCTTCTTAATATAACAAACTCACGGCTCTTAGTGTGAAAACTTGGAGGATATGCTCGTTTGGTGCTCCTATTTCATGAAATTAACAGTTCTGGTATGGAAAACACATCTGTTAAATATGAGGCTGCTCCAGAAGTAGTGCCTCCCATTATTATGTTGGCCCATGGCATCAAAGACAGATGTTGGTGGTACGGCAGCAGAGCCATTACATGTTGTTGCTGTGCAACAGATGGCAGTAGAGAGGCGCTCTGACAAAACGGTGTCTGATACAGAAGGACGTATGAACCAAAGGGATGCTACTGAACTGCCCCGTAAGGAAAAAACTGCACATGCATCCGTGCCTGCTGAACGTTTATGGAAACCAAACAGTAGATGGTGGTGGGTTGGTGTGTTTTCAGCAGTGGCGACAGCAGGTTGCCTCCACTGGTGCAGATTTTATGAGAATGCAGAGCTAATAGTGGGTTCCATGTCTGGGTTTTGTAGCTGAGAGTTTTCTCCATCAAATAGTGGTATTGAATTCTTTGTATCTGTTGAAGTTCCCATGGAAATAAATAGGAGGCATTACTTTTGGAGTGACCAACGTACATTATGCAGTGCCGAATTTAATGAATGTGTTCCCAAAGCCATACAATTCCTGTCTTAGCAGTTAAGATAATTGTTTTTCTGTAATACAGAAATGATCATTACCAGCTATACAACAGAACTGTAGTAAGTGGGAAAAAAACATATGATAAGAAAAAAAAAAAAACACACCAGCACTTGCAGGCAGTAAATTACTCTGAGTTAATCCAGGAGTGTAAACATTCACCTTGATCTTTGGAAGCTTTGTGGGAATAAGGAAGGTGTGCATTCATGATCAGTGAACACACCTGCCCTTCTCCTATAAGTACATGTTCTTATCACCTCTCATATCAGTACAGTTCACCTATTGAGATTTACTGCATGGCTGAAAAACGAAAGTTGCATGAACCTGACTTTGGGGATGAGAGAAAGGAGAGAGCTTGACTCTTGCAGCAGCAGTTTCATCTTCAATAAGCTGGACTGTTAGTAAAACCTAAGCTACTGTTTGTTAAAAAAATGCACTTTTACAACTGTCCACAGAGAGAAACTGTATAATTTCAGAAGTTAACTCTTAAAAAAAAACCAAATAACTCTCTGAAGGACTGTAATAGAAGGTTTATCTAAATGGCAGTTAAGATTTATCTGAAGTGTAGACTGCGGGGCAATTTCTGTTGACAGTATTACAGTTGCAAAAGCTATTGTAAATTGTTACTCAACTGAAAAATAAACTTTAACTCTTAATGAGTATCCACATGTATTCACTGCGAAGATGTTCATTATGAATACATTCAGTTCATTTGAGAAATGTAATGTCTTTTATGGAAGGACAAAGAACTATTAAGAATAACTTTCGAGTAACTGCAGTCTTTCACCTGCTGGCAAATGTCAACAGATCTCTTCTGTATTTCCTTCCTCTGTGCTCAAGACAAATTGAAATGAAAAAGCAAATCACTTGCCACTAGTACTTTACCTTGAGAACTGTTCACTTTTCCAAATCTGGAATATTCTTGTTTCTGAACAATTTAAAACAACTTTTTTTTTTAACAAAAAAGTCTCCAACGTGCTAAGGTATATATATATATCATGTCAAAATAGAAGATAAATAAGCTGTATTTTTTGTTACACAGAACAAATGTACTATCTTCATGTGGAATCGTCCTGTGAAGAACTTGCTCTTCATACTTTCAATAGCCTACAATTTTCAGACAAAATAATAAGTTTGTATGATTTTTATACCAAACTTGATTGCATCAGCTGCGTTTATAAATGTAAGATGAGCATTTTTCCTCCTTCAGACATCTGAGTTACAGTATTATCCACATATGAAGACTGCCTCATCCAGCACTGAAGAAATCCTTCACAAAGCTGAAGGCGCTACGTAGCAACACCTTCTACACTTTCATACTAACACAAGAATTTCCATGTTGTCTTTCTATTAGCACCCTGAAGCTTCTCACACAAACTTACCTCTGCTACAAAGATGATGATTACACAGTCATTCTTCTGCTTTTCAGAAAGTCCATGCAGTAGGGAACGAAGCGTGCTCATCAGGTAACTTTGTTTTTCCCTTTTCACAGTAGGAACACCCATCACCAGTGAGACTGCAAAGACAGAAATGAAAAGTCAAGACATCTTATGTCAAGTGACCGTAAATTCCATTTTAATTCTGGTTTAGATAACTTCGGGTCATCTGAATGGAACTATGATGTTAGAAGATAATCACTACTGTGAACATTCATTGATTGTTTTATGTGGTGAGATTCAGTACTGTTATAGGAGTATGACAGCATTTGCTTTGCTACCAGGAAGAAATATATCCACGTATGCTTAGGTTAGAGATACCTATGCCTGTGTTATAAGCACCAGTTGCTGCTACATAGATAATACATATTTGGTAATACAATGCTATTTCTGGCAAACACATATCTGCTACTGAGTTTCAGAAGTGGGTACTGCAAAATAAACACCAATTTTTGGTATAGAGTTTGAGATCTGAGTAACAAGAATTAAAACTACACTGCTTCAGTGAGAAAGTTCTCACAGGTCACGAAGGTGGCTATCTCAAAAAGAAATCCACATTAAAAAAAATCTTGAGTAGTTTAACTGTTACTAATTAATAGCTTTAATGTAGCGAGAAGAACAAAGAAATGTATGCATAATCATTATTAAGAAGAAAGGAACTTAAATTGACTCTGAGAAAGACTGACCTTGTAATGGAACAGTGTTATAACACTAGACTTTAAGAAGGACTTCTCTTTTTAATGGTGAGGGCATTAGTGAGTTCAGTGGCCTAATACAGCTCAATAAACCTAGGAAATTCTTAGTCGTTGCAGAATATTCCTTTTCAAAAAAAAAAAAGAAAAGAAAGACAAAAAAAACCAAACACAAAACCACAAACACAGGAGGTTGGTATGGAAGTTAAGGGTTCTGAAAGAAAGGAATGTGTTCTATTAGTGACCTGCTCCAGACTTCATCATCAGGGCCAGCATCAACTTAAAAACACAGATGCCCCATGTTCCTTCCCAGCACACAGCTAGCTAAACACTAGGCTTTTGTTTGTTCTTACACTATGAAGGTCAACATGCACACAACAGCAAGACCTGACTGCAGTCTGGCTATTGTGATTTTCACTTAGAAAGAACTAGAAATTCAAAGTAGAGCGTTTTTTCACAGCTTATAGCTGACTACTTCTGGCCTTCTGCAGACTCACACAGACCTGTGAGCACTCCAGTGAGAACTACAGGCCTAAACCACGCTGCTCCAACTACACCTTCTAGTGAGAAGACTGTAGAAAGTTATCCATTGTCATGGGCCCTGCCAAGTCATTTCTGAATCACATTGGAAGTGCTGCCAATGTTTCTTCGCATTAAATCAGCCCCACAGAAAAGTCAAAATCAAAATAAAAAATACACAATAGTAACATAGCTCGTTAATTCATTGCTTGCTTTCTGCCTTTGACTACCCTTTTTACTTACAGCTTAGCTGTTAGGAGAAGATGCAACTTAGAAATTTGGATTACAGTTCACTGCAACTCATTACAATTTGTGCAGTCATCAGTGGATTGCTCAGATGGATGAAACAGACTGAATTGTTGTCTCCGTGTTGTCTGCAGCATTCTGAGGGCACTGGGTCTGCCGTCTCAGGGTCTTTCATTCAGATCCCGCAGAGTTTCATACAATCTTTTTGTCCACTCCTGAAGGGACTTGGAGTCTGTCCTCAGGGCAGCCTTAAGAATAGCATTGTAATGTTCGATGAAGCCTGCCCCCGTTGGATTATACGGCAGGTGGAATCGCCATTCAATGTTATTTTCTTCTGCCCAGCGCTGTACCATTGCATCAATAAAATGAGTCCCTTGCTCGCTCTCGATGACTTGAGGTGTCCCGTAGGCAGACATCAGTTTAGTGGGTACCTTGATGGTATATGCCTGGTTTGCTTTCGGTACTGGATAGGCCTGCAGTAGCCCCACTTGCAGTGACAACGCAGGTCAGGGCGTACCTCGCCCCCTCGGAGCAAGGAAGGGGCCCGATGTAATTGACCTGCCATTGCTGGAGAAGATTGTGTCCTCTAGCAAAATGGGCTGTTGTTTTGGGCAACGCTCTTGGTCTTATCTTGGAGCAAGGGCCACAGTCCCAACATGCCTGAACGCTGTCAGGTAGCCGTATGGGCAGCCCCATACACTTTAGCAGCTGCCCACACTCTTTTGTCCAGCATGCCGTAGCTTCTGATGTAACCAGGGGAAAATGTTCTCAGATGGTGAATTCTCAATCCATCGAACTCGGGCCAGCGTGTTGGCTTCATCATTTCCTGGTGACTGTAGGGGCTGATGACCAGAAACATGGTAGACATGTAAGTCCTGTGTTTGACTGTATTCCATATGTCTAACCACATGTCCTTGCCCCAGATCGGCCAGGAATGAATAATCCACTCCTGGGTAGCTCTCTGTGCAATCCAAAGAGTGAGCCCCCGGTACACAGCCCAACTATCCGTGCAGATGCTCAGGATACCATCACCGGGTTCCTTGGTTATAACCATCTACACGACTCGCAGTTCTGCCCATTGGCTGCTCTGACCATCTCCCCTCATCAAACCAGATTGTCTCAGTAGAGGGATGGTACGTTATTGCTCTCCACTTGGTCGGGTTGCCCTTGCTGGACCCATCTGTGTACCAGGCATCTTCAGGGATAGGATGTTTTCCCTCCTGAACGGGACTCTTCTCTGGTGGAGCGACCAGTATTTCTTTTGGTGCATCACTGTGATACGTTAATGGGCCAAGGATCTTTTGGAGTTCTTCTTTCAAGGGTGATGAAGACAGACTGCTCCCTTGGCTGAGGTAGGCGACCCATCGTGCCACTGTTTGTGCTTGAGCCACCCCTGTCTTAGGAAGGTGGGTCAGATCTTTCACCCACCCCTGAATCGGTACAGTGGTCTTGACTATAACTTCAGCCTTTTGAGTTATTGGCTCTACTGCCTGTAATGCTGAATATGCAGCCAATAACTGTTTTTCAATCATACTGTACCTTCCTTCTGCTCCGTTCCAAACCTGAGACCAGAAACCAACGGGGGTCTGAACAGAACTCTGGCGTTGCCACATGCCCCAACCGAAGCCGTCTTGAGTAACATGAACGTCCAACTCAGCTGGGAGGGTAGGATCGAATATACCCAATGCCTGGGCTTGTTTAACTGCCAGTTTCACCTGTTGGAAAGTGTCTAGTTCTGTTTTCCCCCAGTTCAATAGGTGCCCCTTTTTCGTGAGTCTATATAGTGGCCTTAGCAGCTGCGCTAGGTGAGGTATAAAGGAACGCCAATACCCCAATATACCTAGAAACTCTTGCAGCTGCTTTGATGTTGTAGGGACTGGGAACACCTGAACCTTATCTATGACAGCACTGGGTAGCACTTTGGTCTTTCCTGACTAAACCACCCCCAGGAATTTTACAGATAGGCCCGGACCTTGCACCTTTTGGGGATTTATAGCCCATCCCTTCTGTTGTAAATAGGCGATTAATGATTCCGCCCCTTGTCCTACTGCCTCCAGTGAGTCAGATGTCAGCAGGAGATCATCAATATAATGATATAAGTTTTTTCCAATCAGCCAGGTCACGCGCCACTAGATTACAACAATATGTTGGTGAATGCACATACCCCTGTGGCAGGACCTGAAAGGTCCACTGCCTGCCTCCCCACGTAAACGCAAACTGATCTTGCGATTCTTCAGCAATTGGGATATTGAAGAATGCATTTGCTAAATCTAGAACACAATAGTAGGCTTTTATCTCCCTTCTCAATGTGTACATTAGGGAGGCAATATTGGGTACAGCTGCATGAATAGGCGGCGTGACCTTATTTAATTCTCTGTTACCTACCATCATTCTCCACGTGCCACCCGACTTTTGCACTGGCCGTATGGGGGAATTATATGGGCTGTGAGTAGGTCTTATAATGCCCACTTTTTCTAATTCCTGCACTGTTTCTGATATCTCATCCTGCCCACCCGGGAGCCTACACTGTCTGACGTTAGTAATCCGGCGCTTGTTGAAGTCTGAACTCTCCCACGGTTGTCTGGAGAGCCAAATCGTATAGAATATCTATGCCCAAGATGTATTCCTGAACTGGGGCAATAGATACCTTATACACCTGGGGTGGGAGACACCCAACTCCCAATTTTAACCATGTTTGGGTGACAGGAATAGTTTGTCCCCCAAAACCACCAATCATCACTCTGTCCCCATCAAATTTGTTTGAATCTCCGTAAATAATTGATGTTTCTGCTCCAGTATCAACAAGTGCCATAACTCTATGGACGTTTTTCCGGGACCAGAATATCATTAACTCTACATAGGGCCTCTGGTCCCGTCTGGAGGCACTAGGGGGACTAATATCCCTCATCACACCATGAACTGGGCCAAAGTCAAGTCTTCTGCTTCAGATGCCTCAGGCATTGTAGCCTGAAGCACCTGAGGGGACCTCTTTTTTCTATTGGGAATAATGAAATCCTCTAAATTCCATGTTGTTGTCAGCACAGTTCCTATAACTCTCACCCTCGGTTTCTTAGGGTAGTTTTGGAATCTCTGATTATCCTTCAGCTATCTCCACAGCTGAAGGAGGATGTTATTGGACCGGCAGTCGATCTTTGCAAATTGGACACCAGCCCGAATAAGGTTGTTAAACATTTGTTTTCACAAGACCCTTACAGGCCCCAACTGAAAGCTCTGCATGGGTGGCCTCTTGGTTTTAACTACTGAAAGCACTTCTGCTTCTTCCACTACTGAGATATTGCGCCAAGTGCGTAAATGCTGTCTCCCCCAGATCAGCTACTAACTGGGCAACCTGTTGAACCACAGCTTCTGAGATCACCAGACAGTTTAATACAGAGACTAAGGTCCCATAAAGGTCAGAAGAGGCGTGCTGTAATATTAAATCTCACATGCCTGCTGAAAACTTCACCATATCCGGGCTATCAAATGAGTCCTCGTATATAGCTTCCCTCATGCCTAATTCACGAATATAATTTTGAAGATCCTCCATGGAGGACCATAAACCTGTGTTTAATAGAATATCTTTTGTTTGGCCAAACCATGCGGCATGCTGCTATCAACCAGTCTATTATTGAATGATTCTCATTGCTAAACTGGACAGCAGCGTATAGTCTCTGCCTGACAGCAGAGACTATATGGTGGCCATGCTTTTATATTTCTGGTCCATTAACCATGACGCTTTCTGCTCCTGAATCCTATAACCTAAGCAACCATGCAGGTACACTCTCTCTTAGCCCCTGTCAAAATGGCTGTACCATACCCATCAATTCTGTTGGTGCATATGGCCGAGCCATTGCATGTAAATGCGTTTCAGCAGGGGGCCATTGGTCAGGCGGCATCCCTGCTGGTCTCTCTTGCACTTTTTTTTATCTTTAGGACAGAGATCCAAGGAATCCACCCTAAGTGGAACCTCTAGATCTGACTTAAAGCTTTTGTTTTCCTGTTCAACCAAGCCCATTACTTCAGAGGTGTGGTTATTATCTACTGAAAGATTGCAGACCTGACCTAGGGACTGTAAAATTGTTTTTTACCCTGTTAATACATTAAGATCCTGTTCCAATTTCTCGGTTTTATAGCTTTTAATAGCTGATTTTCACTTTCTAAGGTGTCTGATCTTATCTCAGCTTGATTTAAGGCATTTAACAGTGGCCATGCCACTGTGGATGCAGCTAACTGCCTTTCTTTTGTGGTTAGGATATCTCTGTCTAATCCTTTAAAGTATTCTGTCATGCGGAATGGGGAAATATTCCCTAAAGTACACAGGGGACCCCATTTCTCAACTGTGGTTGCTAACTGGTAATAAGGAGATGCCAGAAAGCCTAGGATCTGTCCAAGGATTATTTTGTCTAGGGGAATGATGTTCTCCCCCTTGACCCATTTATACATGTTCCACAAAAAAGCCATGATAAAGAATATATTTGGCCTGCCTGGCTCACCAATTGTACAATCAATGGAAACACAGATGATGTAGTATATCCAGGAGTTTGTCTGATGTAATTATGAAAATAGAGTAAGGAAAAAAAAACAAACACTCACCCTATCCTGAGCTTGCAAAATCAACTCCAATGGAGTGGCTCTCCAGAAGAGACCCTTCCCCACTGACAGTCAGTTCTTAAATGGGCCTAGGAGGGGTGCAGCCAGGCTCCACCTCTTCCTGCAGCACAGGAGAATTGCCTTCACCTGTGCTCCCATGGCTGACTCAGTGCTTGCCTCAGGTGATCAATCAGAGATTCGGGCCATGATACAGCAGCCCCATACATGTGGGGAAAAAAAATGTCCAGCAATGCTTCTCAGCTATATGAAAATGTGACTAAACATGAAAAAATATTGTTTATCAATTATGATTATTTTTGTTGACATTTTAAAAAGCTTACCAGAGTACTTTGGGCTAAGGACTTGAAATTAAGATGGGAGTGACAGAAGTCCTTTCACCATTTCCATTTATTCAGTTTGGCAAGTTTATAAAATCTTCAGAGAAAAATCCCTCCCAACTTTGAGCATGTGTCATAGCTAGAATTTAGTACAAACTATGAATAGAATGTATGTATAAAACACAAACTGAACTTTATTTCTTACCTCCAGTTCTCTGTTGTCCAATAACAACATTTGGAAAAATGGCATCTTCATATTCTCGGAGGTGAGGTAGGTAGTAGTACAGGTTTGTAAGATGCACGGGGAGTTTTCTGGTGTCATTTAATACTTGCATACCATCTTAAAGAAACAACAAATCCACAGGTAAATATAAAAAATAAAACTGGCAGCTGTTATTTCACCTATCTGAACTAGCTGTTGTTTTAGCTGAGTACCACACACGAGTTTATTCCATCAGAATCATCTGTCAAAAATGATTATTTGTAACACACTGCACAACGATTAATAATTGCCCTGCCTGGTAGTCGAGTCCTGTTTTAGACTCATGGAACTTTTCCAGTTTCTCTGATCTATCTCAGAAATGGACGTGCCAAGATCCCACAGATGAGTGTGCAGTAGCATGCATCAGCACTCACGCACTGCAGTCAACATGAGCCCCTCCTGTGGAACACCAGTGGAGAACAGCACAGCACAACCCTCCCCACAGATACCATTCATTTCCTGGCTTCTTTTCCTTCACACGTGCATTCCTGAGTGATCCAGTGGTGGTAAACAGTCTTTAAAATAAATTGAATACAAAGTGAATGACTGAATTCTAAAATCATTGCGGATGTACTTATAAGCTGACAGAAGAAAACTACGCTGACTGTAAGATATCCACAGGAGCTGACAGGATACGTATGATGCAATTAAAAAAAAAAAAAAAAGAGGTATTTGAATGGACTAAAACAAAGACTACATTTCATTGTTGAAAGAAAAATGAAAGAAAGCCCCTCCTATGAATTTATAGATGGTAGGTCTTACTCTCAGAGGCTGCCTCCTCAGTTTTGCAGAGTGGCTGGTGCTCATGTGCTTCACAGTACGAGAGCAACACCTTCACTACTTTTTGTAAACAACATGACATTAGCACCCTTCCAAGCTGCAGAAGAACTGAAAACCTACAGAGTCTGCAGCAGGGCAACAGAAAGCTTATTGACTTAGAAAGTTATGAAAGAAATGCACCTAATGCAAGGCCTCAAATTTACCGGTGTTCAAAATTACTTAATGCAAGCCCTACAAATCACCATAACCTGCTTTACTCATTCATCTTTGCTCAGTGAAGACTTCCCAAAGGGCTGAATGTTTGTAGTATTTCAATATTCAGAAGACAGTCCCACGTAAAGGTAGGAAATCAGCAGGGATTCCCCGTCTTACTGTTTAATTAAACAAAACAAAATCCAACAACAAAAGCAAAATAAGCAAACAACAACAACAGAACACCCCACAAACAACCACACAAACAGAAATATCTACCTCCAAGTATTTGGGTACGAAAAAGAGATCCACAAGTCCTTCACCTTGCTTCGCATTAAACATACCGGAATTTTGTGGCATATCAACTTTTTTTTGTTGCCGTTTAAATACCTTTGCAACTTCATAGGACTTTCCATTTCCAATAGGAATTAGCATCTATCAAGGGCTGCACAAGGGACTTCAGTTGGATTGTGCGCAATGAAAGAAAGAAATGAACTAAAATATCAGCAAAAAAGTAAAAATTAAGAACACGTGGCAATTTTAAGAAATTGATGCTTTGAATACCATGAATGGACAACTTTAACACTTGCCTGTATTCAACAGGAATAAAGAACAGACGGAAGAGGGACTTGCATTTCCCTCTGCTGCTGCTGTGTGCACCAGGCAGTAGGTTTTTGTATGCAGTATGCTGTACTGTTAGTGGCTGACAAGGCAATTTCTAGTCTGACATTCTGATGGCTTACCCACAGTAAAGCAATTGCTTAGATGCATCTGAACAGTCCCTCTACGTTAATATTGAAAAAACAACCAAAAAGAGACAGGGAATAAAAAGATAAAAAAAAAAAAAAAGCAACAGCAACAAAAATCAAGCTGACTCCACAAACCAGGAATGCATTTTGTTCTTTTTTCCTGTACCAGTCCTGGATAATTCTCTATTCTAATCAGATACCCATCTGTTGTACTGAATACAAACAAGGATCTTAAAGAAATAGTTTACAGCAGCACTCAGACTCTTTTTCAAGCCAAAGTGTACTGTGGAATGCTTCCAGGGCAGAGACTCCCTTGGTGATTTTCCTGCTCTCCCCAGGGATGTAGCTTTTCTACCCCTGAACAGGGAGGAAGGCAGATCCTACAGCATTTCTTTTAGGGAAGAGAACTGATTTGTCTGATTGTTGTATGTAACTACCGGTCTGCAGATGGTGATGTACAATAGCCTGTAAGACAATGATCTAATATGTTTAATTAAACAATGGGAAGAAGCCAGGTAACTAGAGTCAACTTAATTTCATTTTGGTGTTGCTCTTCAAAAAGAAAAGCAAGAAAACATCAGTGTATAGCATCGCCTCCTCAAAGGTTTTCCTTTCTTTTCTAAAACTGACTTCACTTCCAAGGATGGTGGAACACATGAGGGAGGAGGTGTACCTGCTTTCCAGGTTAGACACAGTCCCAGTACTATCAGAGTGTAATTACATAATAAAAGCTGGAAAAAAACCAGCTTATTCAGTGCTCTGTAGTTGGCAGCAAGAGTTCATACACTGTAAAAAGCTAGATAACAATATTACAGGTTTGACTTGTGCTTTCCCATTATGTCACCGCAGTCAGTTTCCTTTTTTTTCCTCCCTTGTTTAGTTACTTAGTTCCTTATTTGTTTAAATGCCCTACTTGTTAGATGCTATTTAAAGATAGGCTACAGGTTGCTTCACCACAGCTTTTCTTTTTGTTAGCTACTTTTCCCTGCTGATACCACTGATCGATGATTTTTCTTCTCATGCCAGTTTTAAAGATACACAAGCACACAAAATATCTGATTTTTAACATACAATACAGTTTTTTTACACATACAAACCTGTATGATTGGTCGTCGAGTTAGTTCTTTTTGCAACTATATGTTTTATTTCATTGAGGGCACTGCTCAGCTCACGTGATCTTTTCTTATTTTCTTTTTCAGCATACAATAGTCTTTCACGAAGTTCCAGGAACTGGTGTTGGTACATGTCTAGGTCATTTCCTGCAAACAGAACATAGTGTATTTGCAGAGCTCAGTTAATATTATAGTATAAAGCAAAAACTTAAGAACAGGAGACAGTCCAGAAGAAGACACGATGAGGGGTACAGAAACAAAGATGCTGCTCAAAGCGTACTCATAGAATGAAGAAGCCTGGAAGAGAATTCAGAAGTAGAATCTAAGGAGCACAGCTGGGTAAAGGCTTGGAACTGAAGCCACAAATTAGAGAATAATGCCACTAATAAGGACAAAGTCAGTAAAGACTCTGAGTTACAAAGGAAGATGCTACCCAGTAAACCCAACATTTTCCAATAAGCGATGCATGCAGATGATTCCTTGTCACAATGAAGACTGTAATTATGTAACATTCTTTTGTAGGAAATACTGGAGAACTGGATCTCACGACAACTCCATGAATAATAACATCAAGAGAACAGGCAGGATTCCAGAACACTGCTGTTCAAAACTATGTTGTTTCCTCAGGGAAGCTACCATACAAATCAAACATCACAGTAATAACCAAAAAATATTTTACTGTTCATCAAATCAATGGAACGTAATATGAAGAGATCATCCCTTCTCCCAGAAACAAATTTCCAAGGTCAACTACTTAAAAAGTTATTTTTTTTGCTAATGGAATGCATTAGAGGAAGCACCGAATTTCACAGAATCACAGAATGGCCAAAGTTGGAATGGACCTCAAGGATCTTGAATCTCCAACCCCCTGCCACACACAGGGCCACCAACCTCCACATTTAATACCAGATCAGGCTGCCCAGGGCCCCATCCCACCTGGCCTTGAACACGAGGTAAATAATGGATTTTTTTAAAGTTTTAGAAGGGGACAAAAAAAAAAAAAGCTTTGAAAAACAAAGGAGGGGATTCATTAAAATTGTTCTGTGCTGCTGCTTTTTTTTTTTTTTTTTTTTTTTGCCTGTGTTACGAGGCACCAGGCTACAAAGCCAGAATCCCAAGCAGCTCAATTACTGGCACAGCTAATTATTGGCACACATCTCATCAAATGCTATATAGAAATACATGATCTTCTTTTATGCTTTTCTTTTGCAATTGTGTTTCCACTGTCATAATCCAACCTTTAGCTTTCTGCTTCAGAATGAAGAGGAATAAAGTGGAAACAGGAGTTAGAAAATGATTTAGGTGACCGAAAGACACCGATCATAGTGTTTTAGAGCAAGAGATTCCAAACAGAGTATTAATACATGTAAATATGGTGAAGACTCAGCTGAAAATTTGAAGACGAATTCAGGAGTGTAAATTAAACATACAGTAACTGAGGAGCAGCTTTCTTTAAATTGCTATTGCCTCTGTAGAAGCTAGATAGCATCGAGTGCCAAGAAAACAGTGGAGGTTTAACCTTCAGACCAACTTCTATATATTCCTTCTGGGAAGATGCAAGCAACAGAGAAAGAGCTCACAATCTTAAGATAAATAGACGTTATCCCAAGATGTAACTCAGTGCTTTTGACAGAGGGAATTAATCATCTTCCAATGATGGTGCTTCACAATTAAACTCTAGAAAGTGTCATCCCATTGGCATTTCCTAATTGGTAATAGCATAAAATAAAATTCCTTCAGTACAACTACGTTAGAGGAAAAGTCAGTGTGGAAAATGCAGGTGAATAAAAACACTGCAGTCTCTCTCGTTAATATTATTTTGGCTATCTACTGTCAGTGTGACTCAAAACCACCAGTGTCACTGCCAGGATGACATTTTAGCCAGCACCAATTCACGGTATTTTTATTTGCTTACTTAGAGCTGGACTGATCAAAAAATCCTACATCTCTGGCAAATAAAACATCAATACTCAGTTATCACCAAGTACAGCCACAGAAGTCAGCCCTAAATGCCCTTATCTATTTCTTCAGGCCAGAAGAGGGAAACCACATCTGCATCTTTCAGAACTGAAGTCTCCATTCAGTTCAGTTCTCCATTCAGCCAATGCAAGAGTCTTGACCTACTTACTCAATTTTGACAGTGGGGAAACACAGGTTTGACAAAAGGAATGTAGTATTTGCTCACCCTTAATGAGTATGTAATTGTACACAAATTGGAACATGAAATAACATGCCAGTAGATTATTTATAAATAAGTAGTACTATCTATTAGTTATATTTTGGGGGGAAAAAAAGTTTGGAAAGCAGCACTGAACTTTCTGTATTTTGCTGTGTAAGAAGACACTGTCATAATCAAAATTTATTATTGATATAAGTTTAGCAAACTATGAAGATAAAATCAGAAATACTGGGAAGCTAAAATACTCTAAGTACTAAATGGTCATTAAGTTGAAATGAATTCTAGCATGCACGCAGCAAGCATTGCTCTAGGCTTCTAAGTATCCACATAGAACCAAAACAGTGTCTTCCAGTAGCTTGGTTGGAAAGAACCACGGAGCATTTCCATGAATATAACTCAGGCAAGGCAAGAAGGGCCAGGAGGAGGAAGCTTCAGATATATCACGAAGCGCTACGTCTGTCCCCAGCAATAGCCTTGCATAGCAGGACCTCCTCTCTGAAGGCTTCTATCTCCAACTGGTTGGGACTGTGGGGTGAAAAAGACAAAGTAGCAAGAAATCTTTTATGATTTTTTTTGTTTTTATGATAAGGGTGGTGAGGCACTGGCACAGACTGCCCAGACAGGAGGTGGAAGCCCCATCTGTGGAGATTTTCAAGGTCAGGCTGGATGGGGCTCTGAGCAATTTGACTGAGCTGTATGTGTCCCTGCTCATTGCGGGGGAGTTGGACTAAATGACCTTAAAGGGTCTCTTCCAACTCAAGTGATCCTATGATTGTTCTAGGAGGACCTACAGCAAAACTACAAAATAAACAAATAAATATAAATGTTTCCTCTCGCCTTGAGGAACTGGCAAAAACTTTGATGTGCTGAAGAAATCCTACTAGGAAATTTCATTGAAGTTACATTGACTAAAATCCAGGGGAAAAAAAAAAGGAAAAGAAAAATCAGCCAGATTCAGAGACAGCATTCAAATCTTTTAAATAAATCTTCAACTCTACTGCAGTATTTCTTCTGTTTACCATACTGTCATTGTCATACTGTATATTTATGAGTGCAGCAGATCTAAGAAGGTAATGCTCAAATTGGCTTAAATACAGTTGTGTTATCCCCCAGTACATACATAAATATAACTTTCTGCACTGGCAACCAAAATTATATAGAAACAGTGCTAACCTTTAAACGTACTCACACTGAAAGTCTAATAATTATTTATCTCACCTCCATCCCCACATAACTTCGTATCATCATAAATGCTTCCATTACTAACAATAGATTTCTTGAAATATATAAAAGCTCTGGAGGAATAACTAATCAACATTCCTTCCTACTCAAGAAAAAAAAAAAAAGAGTTAAAGGAAAATCAGGAGTGCCAGAGACAGTGGAAGGAAACACCCCCATATTCTAGCAGTTACTCTTCTTATTTTTAATTACAAGCTACACTCTTTGCCATACATAGACACTTTCTTCTGGAGACTGCCTTCTTTAAAGAGAACTATATATATGCACGAACTGCAAAGGACCTTGCCATTAGCTTCACTTGGAATCACTGCTCCCTGCTCAGGGTAATGAGGCACATTAAACCACTGAGGCATGCATGGCACTAATAACTGTGGCTGTTTATTGTCTTCCTGTAACTGATCTAAACTAGAACAGAATACCAAGATTTCTGAATCTTGCAAAGCGTGTAACAAGCTCAGTTTTGTTTTCCTAAAATTAGGAAGACAAATCCTGCAAACAATGCCTCTGTCTTAGCTTTGAACAGTCAGTTCTAATACAAACACTCGATTCAATAATGTGCTAAAGTCCAAAGGCGCATAAGCGGCCTTCCAGGTAAGGACACCTCCCTGAATTTGTGCATGAGATTTAAATATCTTTTTAATAGCACTACAACACTGTTATTGTAGGCTAGAGATAAGCACGGAAGTCTGCCATGGTATCAAAGGTATTTTCACCTATGCTGGGTACGTTCATCCCTTATCTTTAACCTTGAACAGAACTGGGGTAGCTTCACACGTTTAGCTTTAGACACGGGACACAGCACATCTTAACACACATCTCAGATCTTCAGGAGCTTCTGAAGTCAATCAGTGCTCATCGTGGTTTATTTTATGCAGCTGAAAAGGGAAAGCTGATTGACTGGTGTTTCCAGTCACCTATGTGCTAACAGCAACTACACTGCAGAGGTTATCAGTACAGCAGGGTCCAGGAAGTAAAAGGAGAAAATGCAGACACATCCCAGTTGGCTGACAGAAACCTTCGTCCAGCTGTAATGCAGTAATGTCATACCTGTGACTTTAGCAGGCCAAACCATGTGGCTTAACACACCCCGAGGGTTCTCTCACCAGGTTCTGCTGCTCGCTGTACAGAAACCTAGCTGAGCAAAGTAACTGGGAAGCAGCGTGCTGTCCCAGTGTATCCACTTGTCCTTGACTATATCCACATTGGGAGCTTCAGGACAGTGGAGGAACATTTTATTAGCACAGTGACAGCAGGTAAAAGCAGAGTGCCAGCAGCTTTGTGCGAGAAGCTAGGATTCCACCATAGAGGATCTAGGAAGAGCATCAAAACCATTTTACAATACTGAAATGAACAAACAAGACAAAAGAAACTTGAAAAAGTAAAAGGCAGACCAAGGTTAATTACTGAATTTTAAAAATCAATTGTACGATGAGTAAAGACTCGCTGCTGTTTTTGGCAGGGAACAGATTTTACTAAGCCCATTTACATACTGTATCTAACTGAAAATAGAAAAGCAAACATTTCAAAGAAAACATGGGTATTGATAATACTTTCTAAGACATTAGTAAACAGTGTTCACTTCAGATCTGAGGGGTTTTTTTTGCATAAAAGAAGGAATTTTAAAATAATCAAAACATTTCTGTGTAGGAAAGCAAGAGTGTTGAAATAAGTAGAAACATAAATCAAATGGATACACCGTGGTGTTTGCACATAATTGGTATGGTTTTAA